TAGTTATGCAATTCTGAATGTATAGTTATGAAGTTATGGATGTATAGTTCAAATTATGCACAACATAACGGCGTTAACGACAATCGAAACTGATTTTTTTTTTTAAAAGTTGGAAATCAAAATGACGTCGTTTTTGCAACCGTGTACACCATGCTGATGCACACAGTTGCGTTAACTCAAGCACTACCTCTAACGACTAAGAGCTTGGAGTTGACACGTCTGTCACTCCCACTCATCAAAAATAGCCAAAAGATAGTCAAGTCACAGAAGTATTCCAATAACTTAGACAATAAACCAAAGACTTAAGTCCATAAATTTGAAATCTTAAACATACACCATAACTTTCCAAATAACTTCAATGTCCACTTTAAATGAACTGAACATGATGAGTCTTATTTATATGTCTCACAAAATTGTCTTGAGCCTTACAAACCAAAATAGCCCAGGATCAATTTTGAATAAACTAAAGACTCTATCAATCACTAAATAATTTATTAAATGTCAATGCACCTACAAGTTAAATGCTTTTGTTCTAATAAATTCCTTAATATTGTTACAATATTTTCATAAATATGTTGCACAACCAAATGTTCAATATATAATTTGAACTTATGAATTTATAGGACCAAATACAAGATTGATACTTGTGAAATCGATCTTTTGAACTTATTATTTAACCTACAACCTAATTTAAAATATATAAATACAATTATTAAATTCAAAAACTTTAATAGAGTATGTGCACACGGTTACACAGCATAACGCTCCTTATCAATGATAGCGAAAATGGATTCAAAATCAAAATTCCCAGTGGATAAACTTACTATAAAATCGTTTCAGAAGACACGTGACTCAATGTCAAGTTAGAGAATTTCAATGGACAGTACTATTCGATTCATCATTGGGATTAGTATTAAATTAAAATAAATTAAAAGCAGTTGAAAGTGAAATATAGAAGGTACTTTACTATTCTTCAATAATCGAGTCAGGTAATAAACTTCTTTTTTAATTATAATTCATTTGATCTAATAATATATCTTTTTGGTTTTTCAAAAAAAAAAAAAAATAATTCATATACATTTGGGAGGGGATATAAATTATGGTGATTCAATTATTCAGCATGCAGGATCTCAATTGTTCAGCATGTAGGGTTAAATGCCAGTACGAGGACACACAAAGGATTTGTCCATTTTAAACATAATTCCTACACTATTATTGTCGAGGTTCAAACATTAATTTCTCTTTTCAAATATTATTCACTGATTCAGTGAGTTAAACTTGTGCGAACCTATTTTTAATTTTCTAAGAGTCCCTGTCGATGCTAACTTGTAGGGTTATATCTCATTATTATTATTATTTTTAATGTCTCTTTCACAATTTCTAAATCTTTTAGAACAATAATAGCACATCAATGCCAACTCGTGGATAACTCATCAACTCGCTCAGCTATTCCTTTAATTTCAAGGCTAAAAATATTAAATTTTAAAATGCTATAACATCGATATGGCCAAGCATGAAATTTACTATAACGTGTAATCAGGGGTATGTCCCGGTGTCACATGTATTGAACTTTTGATTTATATTTACATCTCCCGATTTGATGAAATTTACTATAACTTGTCCACATGAACAACTCAATTGGTCACAATGTAAAGCTTAAGAACGTCTCACCAGTAGCAGTGTGGGAGCAACCTCTCAAAGTGAAAGGCTCCTTATGGACAATAAGTAAATGTCTAGTCTCTGTTCAGCTGAATTACCATGATTTATATCCTTTGGGCCGGAACGTGATGCCCTTAAGGAATAATGAAATACACTTTAACTTGACCATTGATTACACGTATCCTTTTATTAATATTGTAATCTTGATCCTAATTAATAATTTTTGGTTTTTTTTTTTTTTTTTTTTTTTTTGTTACGCGTGAATGATCCACCGTCCATATTTTATAGTTGAAGGCATAAGCATGATCCACGAGCTGAGAGATCGATATGATATGAATACAGGTGGCCGGCTGGCAACGTTATATTGAGGATAAGTCAATTTATACTTCCAGTACCCATTTAACTCTTCTGTCATCATTATTATATTTATATATTATATATTTATATATACAAGCAAACATATGCAAAACATGCATGTGCAATATTAGATGACAACATTTACATCCGTGAGTTCATTAATTTCTATCTCATGCATGCATAATCAAATCATTGTTGTACACTTTTTTTTTTTTTAACGAAAAAATTTGCTACCGTTATTCAAATGTGCAATATGAATAAAACTCATTTAACCGGTTAAATTAGCCTAAATTATTTATAATTAATCGACTTAAACCAAAAAAGGTCAAAATTAAAGTCGTACTTAGAATTAAATTGGCATTGTGATTACTAAATAATTTAGTGTCTAATCAATTTGAATGGGTCGTCTCCAAATCATTGTTGTACACTTGTACCAATAATATAATTGTTTGTGGTCCATTTAAGATATTTATTTCCTTCAATAACATCGCAAATTTGAATTCAATCAGGTATAACCACATGTTGTGTAATTTATTTATTTATTATTTGGGATACAACAAAAGAAAACAAAGAAACCAAGTAACCAACAACTAGAGACTAAGAGTTATGGAGGTTTAAGATTAATCTAACGTAAGTTTTGAAAAAACTATACCCCTTCTCCTCTCATCTTTTGATCAAAATAGATGATGATATAATAATAATAAATGCGAAATTAACTTGCTTGACGTTTATGAAAGCTTAATATTGGATACTTGTACCAAGAGATTATCTCATTATCCAAGTAACGTTTATTACAATATTTGTGCATGGGAGTTGTCATATATATATGGTATCTTGCGTGCTCTATAACAACCAACAACATGCCATTTTTTTGAAAATTCATTTCAAATATGCCATATTATAAGTAAAATTGGTACTTTGATTATATATGGTCTAGATTAGTTAATGATCTACCTTGCATACATTTTGATTGGTTAGTTGACAACTTCACGTCTTCACATTACAAACTTTTATTGAAACGAAGCTAATATTGAATATAGATAAATTAACAATTAAATTACATAAAACATAATTTTAACAAAATTAAAATGATTATATTCGTTTTCAAAAAAAAATGATTATATTCAAAATTAAATTGTACTTAAATATTATTATTTACATTACAATTTGTATTTTATATTAAACTAATTAAATTCAAACCAATAAACTTTTAAATTTTGAGAAATCAAATTATTTTTGTATAAAATAACATTTGGTGTGATGCGTTGAAGATAAATAAAATTTGGTATAAGAATATTCCTTTCGATGTGATATTTTCTATAGATTTTTGGTGTTTTTTTTTTAATACGACTACTCTATTACAATGTAGTATCTGTTTATATACTTTCTACTCTATTACAATGTAGTATTTGTTCTATCTGTACCTAATGAAACACAAAGAGCCAATAACGCCTCCAAGGTTCGAACTCACAACCTTCCAAATAGAAGTCCAACCCGGGTACCATTAGACCACATAGTAACAAAAGTTGCAGTGAAAAAAAAAAAAAACAAATAGAAGAAAGAAAATAAGTATTATTTGGGGGTTGTTAAGGTATATATTGACCCAGACTTACTAGTTGTGTAACAAGTATTTTTTTTTTATTTTTTTTGAAAATGTGTAACAAGTATTTAATTTATTTGAATTTCTCACCTTGGTAGGTGTTGACTTTGATTTGCACCAACCAAATCTCATATATATTGTAATATAATACTGTATAGATAACGTCGTAACAGCCTAGCGTTAATAATTAATGAAATTTGTATTTTCACTATAATTTTTAAATTATAATTAAACTATATTTTTCCTCCTCAATTGCTTTGTGTCCACATATATAATCCCCGGACTTCAATATGAAGTTAGTAATTTTTAGTCCCTAAACTACCCTTACTTATTGGGTCATACAAGCTTACAACCTTTTATCCCCGCCATTTTAGCAGTTTCTATAAAGTAATCCAAACTAAATTGATCCGACAATTGACTTGATAGTGGCAAGGCTTCAAATTTGACTTTACGTTAGAATTGTTTATTAATTTTTTGGTATGAGTCAACATATACTGGTTTATCTCTTTGTGGTCCATTGTCAACTAGAGTTGATCACAAGCGAGTTGCACCTATAAGCGCGTTTTCGGGTAACACGCAGTTGTGGGTTTTTTCGTAAATAATAATTAGTAAGATCATTAAAGTATTACAACGAATTTCCTTCATAAAATAGTGGTGTTTAATAACGTAATTAACATTCTTCTCTCAAAAGGTTGAATCCCCAATCTCAAGGGTCCCAATAACCCAACCCGACAGAGCATTTGAGAGAGTGTAAATCACGATGAAGTATATAGGGTCAAATACCGCACGAGAGATTTGCTCACTTTAGGCATAATCCCAACACTGCCGCGCTGCCGATCGAGGTTCAAACCTTGATCTTTTATCTTAAATACTGATACTGAACCATTGAACTAAGCCAGTGTGGTCAGTGTTTAATAACCTTTAGTAGTATTTGGTGTCTTTACACATAATTTCTGCAAAACAATCATGTGTTTTTAATAAAATTATCATGCAGTGTAAAATATCAGACAAACATCAACCATTAATCCATCCATTATAAATATATTCCTTGTAATTGATTATATAATTTATATTCCTTTGACAAATACGATAATGTCTAAGTGATTACAACCTTCTAACGAACCAAATTGATTATAATTTAGTTCCACATTTGAGACATTATTATATATTAACAACGTGGGTCGAATCTGAATATATATATCTCCAAGATCGAATACTAATATGTAAACGTCATTCACATTTTATAATGATAACAATAAGATTACGACTAATTCCGTTGTTCGATTTATGATCATATTATATACGTAGTTTGTCATTTTTAATTCTCAATTTTCAAATTCATTGACGATAAAAATAATAGTGCAGGACAAAAGAACAGTACATGATTTTGAAGTTAAAAAAACTAAAATTTACGAAATTTCCTATAATTGAAGGACATGGCATGGGAATTTGTCTAGGAAGATAAAACAAAAACGTGCGGTTTATGGTTTCATATGAGGTTGAAGACACCCATGAATGACTATCATATCATATCATCACCTCTATATAAATCTGCCCACTACACCCTTAGAACTCTCAAGAATCCTTTAAACTTTGCCAATAATTCCAGTTCTCAAAATCCACAGCAATGGGGAATTGCTTACCTTCACAAAACGAACCCCAAACACGCCCCATTGATTCCGCTTTCAAGCTTCCTTCCCCGTTGCCCACCTGGCCTTCATCATCAGGTCCTTCAATTTCTGCATATATATATTCTCAACTTTCTTGAATATAACTAACGTTGTCATTATTGTTCATTAAGTTTGTTGTTGTCAAAGTTCTGATCTTTACAGTGTTTTGTTTATGTTATATGTGTACAGGCGGTGAATTTGGGAGTGGATATATTGATCTGGGAGGGCTCCATGTCTGCCAGATTTCAGCTTTCAAGAAGGTTTGGGTAACGTACGAAGGAGGGCCCGACAACCTCGGAGCGACAATCTTTGAGCCGTCGTCCATCCCTGACGGTTTTTCCGTTCTGGGTTACTACGGGCAGCCCAACAACCAGCCGCTTTTCGGTTGGGTTCTGGTCGGAAAGGACAACAGTACCGGCGCCGACATTCTAAAGCCGCCGAGTGATTACACTCTTGTATGGAGCAGTGAGGCTCTGAAAATCAACCAAACTACCCCTGCATATATCTGGCTACCTGTTCCGCCGGAGGGGTACAAGGCAGTCGGCCACGTCGTCACCACGTCGCCGGAAAAGCCCCCGGCGGACAAAATCCGGTGCGTCCGGGAAGATTTCACCGACAACTGTGAGGTTGAAAGCTGGGTTTGGGGACTGGGGAGCTCGAGTGACCCAAACGGCTTTAATGTCAACAGTTTGAGACCAAGCAATAGAGACATAGAAGCCCAAGGCGTCCCTGTCGGGACATTTGCGGCTAATATCGACGGCTCAGCCGCCATATCTTTATCTTGTCTGAAAAACAACAATTTTACTACGTTTTCTTCCATGCCTAACCTCGCCCAAATCGAAGCATTGTTCCGAGAATATTCTCCGGTGGTTTATTTCCACCCAGAAGAAACGTACCTAACGTCTTCCGTCAACTGGTATTTTGCCAGCGGGGCATTGCTGTACACGCAAGGAGACGAGTCTAACCCCGTCGCCGTTAACCCTGACGGCGAAAACCTCCCGCAGGGCGGGTCAAACGACGGGACGTACTGGCTGGACCTGCCGGTGGATGAAACGGCGAAGGAGACGGTGAAGAAAGGAGATTTGAAGAGTACGGAGGTTTATCTCCACGTGAAACCCATGCTGGGTGGAACGTTCACCGACATAGTGGTTTGGTTGTTTTATCCGTTCAACGGTCCGGCGACGGCGAAGCTTGGGATACTCAACATACCGCTAGGCCGCACCGGGGAACACATCGGCGACTGGGAGCATCTGACTCTAAGAATCAGCAACTTCACCGGAGTTCTGTACAGAATGTACTTCTCTGCCCACAGTAGCGGCGCGTGGGTGGACACCCGGGACCTGGAGTTCAGCGACGGCGGCAACAAGCCGGTGGCGTACGCGTCGCGGAACGGGCACGCGAATTATTCGGCGCCGGGGGTGGTTTTGCAAGGGCCCAACGACGAGATCGGGATAAGGAACGACACTGCGAAGAGTAACTTGGTTTTGGAGTGTGGGGCGAAGTATTCGGTGGTGGCGGCGCCGGAGAGTGTGGTTGAGCCGGCGTGGCTGAACTATAGAAGGAAGTGGGGGCCGCACATTACGTATGAGCTTAAAGAGGAAGTGGAGAAGGTGGAGGGGATATTGACGGGGGGCGTGAAAGATCTGTTTCAGAGTCTGGTGAATATACTGCCCAATGAATTGTTTGAAGAAGACGGCCCGACTGGCCCCAAGGAGAAGAATTTCTGGGCCGGTGATGAGAGGTAGGTAGCTGCCGTGAAATTAATGCGATTGGATTAATGGGTGTGAGTGATGAGTGAATTGAATGTCTTCAAATGCTGTCATGTCTGCAATATAATAGTTTTACTGCTGTATGTATGTGTCTGTGTGTATCATATGCTAGTTTCCATATTCACCTCCTTTCCCACATTATGGTTTACTTCATTTTCCAGATACCCGGAGTGGAAAGAAATGTGGTCGAAACTAGAGTTTCCTATCGGAAATCAGCCATTTCCGACCATTTTGTGGTGGTCGGAAAATCAAACATTTCTAGCCGTACTTCAATTCTTTCCCACATTATATTATGGTTTAGTTCATTTTAGGGTGAGAAATTTAAAAAAAAAAAAAAACAATCTTTCAACATAAACTGATTTAATTTTTTCATATTAAAATTTTAAAGGAATAAGGTTCAACGTAACCTGAAAATGCAATTAGACCACTGAACGAAAAAAAAGTGCAATTAGGCCACTGAACACTCCAAAAATGTGCAATTTCACCTGATAGCAGGTTATCCTCAATTTTAGCAGGTTATCTGCTTACGTGGCAGCTGAGTTGGCATTTTTAATAAATTTTAAATTATTTTTAATAAATTTTTATTTTAAAAAAAATAAAAATGATTTTATTTTATTTTTTATTTATTTTTTTCAATTTTTTATAAAATTTATTATTAAAATTAATTATTAAAAATGTCAACTCAGCTGCCACGTAAGCAGGTAACCTACTAAAATTGATGGTAACCTGCTATCCGGTGAAATTACATACGTTTGGAGAGTTCAGTGGCCTAATTGCCCGTTTTTAGAGTGTTCAGTGGTCTAATTGCACTTTTTGTTCATTCAGTGACCTAATTGCATTTTCAGGTTTCGTTCAGTGACAAATTTGAACCTTATTCCAATTTTAAAATACTTCTTCTCCATTATTAACGGTGATACTGGCCCGCTATCAATTACCGGTTAGTCGTAAAACCAACCTCTTAATTGGTAAGCAGCCGTTATTAGCTGTTATAGATAAAAACTCTATTTTGTGACCATAGCTTATAGCTAATTGGTTGCCCATGACTTCATATTATTGCCAGCTGGCGATGTCTCCATCGTTAAATAATGCATTCCATTGATTGCTATACAAGACTCCACTGCACACACATTAAATTGTTTGTCCGCAAGCAATTCTGTAAATATATTTCTGATCAGTTGTCTCAATGAGGTTTTTTGTCTAATTTTTGCCCACAAAATATATGAAATGATAGATAAATAGTCATATTTCAGTGTGTGATGTTACTATACGTTGCATGTATATTGTTTTTTTTTTTTTTTTTTTTTGTTTTTTTTTTTTTCCAATTTTGTCTCATGCATGATTGCATATATGGTATATACTTCAAATTATCCAAACCACAAAAAGAGATAAAATTGGATACATGTCAAGTAATGTATGGAGTTTATGAACTTGTAGTATTATATATATATGCTGTACATATAATGAATTTTAATGGTACAGTGTGCATTGTGTAAAATACATAGTTATACAAGTATAATTGGTACATGTTTTTTTTTTTTAATGATACTGACTCTATTACATTGTAATATATGTTCAAATATACTTTCTCAACCTAATGAAGCACAAAGAGTCAACAACGCCTCCAAAACTCGATTTCTTGACCTCCCACATAATTATACAAGTATAATTAGTACACATAATTTTTCACATAACGCACAATAAATAAATAAATAAATAAATATATATATATATATATATATATATATATATATATATATATATATATATATATATATAATGTTTACATTTATTTATATATTTATTCTCCTTTTTTTATTTAAAAAATAGTTGTCAATTATTGTGTGAACTACACTTTTTTTTTTTTTTTGATAATTAACTCTTATTCATTTGATTTATCAATACTATATATAAAAACAAAATCCTGAAATTTTAACTTCCCGCCCAATTCCTAAAAAATCTCTCTTCCTATAAAATATATTGATTTCTACTTTCCCATTCGTACAATAATTCTGCGTTAAAATTCGATTCTAATAGTATAAAATAGTGTAATACAATCTATAGTCTATAGTATATATAAAAACAAAATCCTAAAATTTTAACTTCCCGCCCAATTCCTAAAAAATCTCTCTTCCTAATAAAATATATTAATTTCTACTTTCACATTCGTACAGTAATTCTGCGTTAAAATTCTATTCTAATATTATAAAATAGTGTAATACAATCTATACTATATATAAAAATAAAATCCTTAAATTTTTACTTCCTGCCCAATTCCTAAAAAATCTCTCTTCCTAATAAAATATATTGATTTCTACTTTAACATTCGTACAGTAATTCTGAGTTAAAATTCTATTCTAATATTATAAAATAGTATAATACAATCTATAGTCTATAGTATATATAAAAACAAAATCCTGAAATTTTAACTTCCCGCCCAATTCCTAAAAGATCTCTCTTCCTAATAAAATATATTGATTTCTACTTCCCCATTCGTACAATAATTTTGCGTTAAAATTCAATTATAATATTATAAAATAGTCTAATACAATCTATACTATATATAAAAACAAAATCCTGAAATTTTAACTTTCCGCCCAATTCCAAAAACATACTATTTCTTGAAAGTTACTAACTCTATTAGATTGTATTATCTGTTCATATACTTTCTCAACCTACTGAAACACAAAGAACCAGTAATACCTCCACTGAGGCTCAAACTCATAATCTTCCAAATGGAAGTCCAACTCGAATACCATTAGACCACATAGTCCAAGTATACAATCTATACTATATATAAAAACAAAATCCTGAAATTTTAACTTCCCGCCCAATTCCAAAAACATCTCTCTTCCTAATAAAATATATTGATTTCTACTTTCACATTCGTACAGTAATTCTGCGTTAAAATTCAATTCTAATATTATAAAATAGTGTAATACAATCTATACTATATATAAAAACAAAATCCTGAAAGTTTAACTTCCCGCCCAAAACATTAATTTAATGCATATGTAATATTACAAAATTCTACAATAAGAAAATTCCTATTCTAATCAATATGTAACAAAATTCCTAAAACATCTCTCTTCTTAAGAAAATATATTGATTTCTACAATAATTCTTGGTTAAAATTTTATTGTAATATTATAAAATTGTGTAATACTATTCCTATTCTAATCAATATCTATTTTATATATCAGTGTTGCAAAAATCGTGTTGCTGGCCGCGGCGAGGAAGGCCGGAATCGGCCTCCTCAGCTGCCGCCTCGCCGGCTGAACCGGTCTTTAATTTTTTTTAAAAAAAATTTGTAAAGTGTCAAAAGTTCGGCACGGTATAACTTTTGACTCCATTGTCCGTTTTGGACAAATGTTTTTTTTGAAATCGTGTATTTTTTCGAGATCTATCCACCGCAAACTGCCGCAGGCGGTTTGGCCCATCAATTTCTAAAAAAAATACTTTATTAACCTTATGTTTTATTAATGAATTCTTAAAATTCTAAGAAAAAACTTTGAGAACCTTATGTTTTATTAATGAATTTTTAAAATTTTTAATTAAACAATTGTCTCGTGCATTATTTAATAATCTTTCTTTATAATTGGTCAAATTATTTAATTATGTTAAATTTGGGAATAATTAATGATGGTAATAGAAATCTTAGAAGAATATAGAATTGAACAATATTTAATTATTGTTATATTATTATTGTGACTCACAGAATACAAGACTTAATGCCATTTTTGGTCCTAGACTTATTGGGGCATTGACACTTTTCATCCTCCATAATAAAAATTGTCACTTAGTAGCCACTGTTATTGATCGTTGGACAGTTTTGATCCTCCGTCAATGACGCCGTTTGTTGACCGTGAATTAGAAGGGTTTTTCTGTCTTTTTATGTTCTAATCCTTGTATTTCTCCATCCATTGGTCACTGCTACATCCATTTCTTCAAACTGAGGTTATCCGCTTTAGTCCTTTCTAACATTAAGAAACCATCTTCACCCAACTAACAATCACGAATTTTACATTTGACATCAATCTCAAGATAATGGAAACAAGTGCAGTTGGAATAGAAAGGGCGTTAGTCCATGCCTGTGGAAATTTTGTCGAGCATACAGCATAACTAGCAAAGTCAGGAATATCACCCAACCCCTCCCTTAACCATTCTGCATCAACTATAATAGGTATGCCCCTACTCTTTGCCTCCTGCACTACAATCAAAGCAGTCTCATGCAGCCTTCCATCTAAGTAGACAATATTTACTCCAAGCGTTAAAGACAATTTTGATTTGGGTATGTAGACCCTCAGATATCATGGGTGGATATCCTGGAGTGAAAATGCACGTGCAAGTTTTTTTTTTTTTTGGTTGTCAACAATGACATATGTGAATGGTGAGTTTCCTCCTTTGGACACCACCATAAAAGATGTATCAACACCATCCCTTTCAAGCTCATCAAGTATTCTTTCGTCATGCAAGTCATCAGCAACCTTAGATATGATCCTTGGATTAAGACCAAGACGAATTTTATCATCCGGGTTTTATCAAAGCATTGCCAGTGTTACCACCTCCTTGGACCTCAAAGCTGGTGCTCCGAATTTTATCATCCGGGTTGGGGAATGAAGCTACAGCAGCCAGGAAGTCAACACCGGCCATTCCAACACCTCAGACAATGCGATTTTTGGGGAGCGGCAGATTCCACATTTTCAGCTTGAAACTTCAATGAATTTCAGGTAGAATAACAGAGTTTTTGAGGTTGTGCACCAAGTAGTTGTGGTCAGAGAGAGAGAGAGAGAGAGAGAGAGAGAGAGAGAGAGAGAGAGATGGGAAGGATATTTATGGTCAATATGGAAGGGAGGACTTACATGTGCAAATTCTACATCACGCCATCTACAACTACAACTGCTATTTACCATAGGAGGGTTCGCCGACCTGCTGCCCTCTCTGCTTCACCGGAACCAAAAACCACCGGTGAAGGCCCCAACCTCGCCGGATCTGTTGCTGTACCGCCAGATCTGCCTTATTGGTCCGTCGCCGAAAGGAGTTACTGCCTCGTATGCTCGCCGCCATACCCACAACTCGCCGGAGAAGAACCTCGCTGCTACTCACTATCGACGATTACTACTTAGCCGCCAAGTCTCGCCATCTCGCCTCACAGGAGTCATAGCAGCGCTGGTCTAAACAAGATTAGAAGAATAAGACATAAAAAGACAGAAAAGCCCTTCTAATTCACGGTCAACAAACGACTTCATTGACGGAGGACCAAAACTGTCCAACGGCCAATAACAGTGTCTACTAAGTGGCAATTTTTATTATGGAGGATGAAAAGTGTCAATGCCTCAATAAGTATAGGATAAAAAATGGCATTAACTCCGAAATACAATACAAGAATATTTAATTATGGTTATATTATTATTGTGCCTCACGACCATTATATACTAACAGTACTTGAAAAGAAACTAATAATAATAATAATAATAATAATAATAATAATAATAATAATAATAATATAATAATAATAATAATAATAATAATAATAATAATAATAATAATAATAATAATAATAATATAAGTGGTAATAATAATATCTAAAAGTAATTAAGTGTTAATAATAATAGTAAGAATATTAACGTAAGAGTTGTAACATAGAATAAATTGTAATAATTAATAACTATAATTTAGAATTAAATTTGGAATTGTCAGAAAAGATAAACGACCTCTGGTGAAATCAACTCTTAAATAATTATATATAGATTTAAATATTCTTAATATATTACAACAATTCCATTCCGTGCATCGCACGGGTGAAAATACTAGTTATGGTAACGCAATATTCAAACATTTGAAGGGTGATGATGTTTATGCTCATAGACTCTTGCCATATTCCACGTAACACAAATCAAGCTGTCATTTAAGTGTGATTTCCTCAATCCCCTAAAATCATATATTCATTTTCATAATTTTGGGCAATAGTCGTGACATGCATCTATCTATTTAGCCACTTGTTTTTGAATTGGAGATGTTTGAAGAAGCAATGTAAGTTAGATATGACATATATTAACTTAATTCATAATCAACCGTAACTGTCTTAAGTTTAAACATATATGAAATATACTCTACATATGAGTCATGTAAAAATAGTATATTCATGTTCAATTGAATAGTTACCTTTAAGAAATTCATCGAGGACATAACCTTCTATGTGCATTACCCAATGGCTTCCATAGTCTGAAAAGGAAAAGCTTCTAGGGGCGAAATGATTAGAACGGCGTATCGTAATACTAGATTTGCTCAGTTACTCTGACCTTAATTCACTATATGAATATGGTCTGGCTTAGAGAAGCATATTACTCAAAGTATATGTCTACACATGCGTAAATACTACATGATTACATGCATATGCCTTACTTAAACGTTCAATGCTCAATCGATCACCGCTCCAACTCATTGAACACCTGGACATTGCACACACTAGCCCATCATGGTGATTCTCTCTCTTAGGGGTGGGAATAGGCCAGGCCCCTTGTAGGGGCCTATGTCCTGGCCTAATTAAAGCTCAGTTAGGCCTAGCTGGTTTAGTAAAAAGGCCAGGCTTAAACCAATTTCAAAGCCTATTAAACTAAATAGGTCAGACCTATATATACCAGGCTCGGCCTTTAGGCCTACAGGCCTGGCCTATATATATATATATATATATATATATATATATATATATATATATATATATATATATATATATATTCTATTTTATACCTAATATTTATATATTTACAATATAACCCCAAGTATATATTATTTAGATAAGTTTTTAAAAAGTCTTAACATGTAGGCTTTAATAGGTTATAAGGTAGGACATACTTTGAAGCATTTTTAATGACCTAAATATTAAACATGTTTTTTAAAAGGCTTTAGGCCAGGCCAGGCTAATTGCAGGCTCAGGCTTGAGCCTAACAAAAAGCATACATACAGGCTCAGGCTTTAAATTTTCGTAACAAGCCCAGGCCTAATTTTTCAAAGCTCGGCTCGACTCGACCTATTTCCACCCCTCCTCTCTCTCTTTTTTTTTTTTTTTTTTTTTTTTTTTTTTTTTTTAAGTGTAACATACACATAGTTTTCGTTGTCGGGCACACTGATTAAATCTCTTGTTAAATTATGGTGATTCTTAGATTATGATAAATTGTATGATCTCTTGAATTTACTTTGTCAATTGTCTTTTTTTTTTTTTCATCGTTGAGTCTGTCATTATTGAGTTAAACATAATAAGTTGGGATATACTATGAGAAGAGATTTTAAAGGATTTTTTCTATGAATCATATATATAACAATAGTACACATTACATAATTAAATCAATTAATTATACATTATACACATTACATAATTGCACCATTAAAACAAGAGTTAATACCCAAAATAGTCCCTCGACTATGTCGTAATTGTTAATTTGATCATCGACTATCATTCTTACCCAATTAAGTCCTCAACTATACAATTTTTACCCAATTTAGTCATTTGTCAATTTGACTGTTTGTTGACTGTCAAAAGTGGAAATAAAGTTGTAATTTTACAAGTTTTCTCCTTCCTCCTCATTTAGCAGCGCCAAACCATGTAGCAATAAGCTCCGGTTGGGTTCTAAACCTGTCAGTATCGAAGTAGTGGTTATGCATCGGATAACCCATGAATTTGATTTCCAACGATTTTTTGACGATCGAAATCTGATCGGAGTATATTGTTGCATGATTTGGCGCTGCTAAATGGAGAGCAAGGAGAAATCTTGTAAAATTATAATTTTATCCCGACTTTTGACAGTCAACAAACAGTCAAATTAATACAGAGGACTAAATTGGGTAAGAATTGTATAGTTGAGGACTAAATTGGGTAAGAATTGTATAGTTGAGGACTTAATTGAGTAAAAATTACATAGTTGAAGACTTAATTTGATAAGAATGGTAGTTGAAGACCAAATTGGTAATTATGGCATAGTCTAGGGACCATTTTGGGTATTAACTCTTAAAACAAAATGTATTTCCAGTGGGCATGATTTGTAATACTGCAAAAGTAAAGGGACCGTTTACGCAAAAACCATGAGGACGATTGAAAAAGCTCGCACGCGCTCAAACATTTCGTGCGTCACGCGCCAGCAAAGCTTCCACTAGAATCCAGAAAGTCCCACCACTCCCACTCCGCCCTTTTTTTTCACCACTCTCTCAAATTTTCTCCTTCCCGCTCACCGTAACGCACTTTTTAGGGTTTTCGGATTTCTACACTTTTGTTCCCCCGCGAAAACCTTACTTTCTTTCTTCATTCTCACCGGAAAGTTTCAGATTTTGCGGGAAAAATGCCTCCGCCGGTTAACCTGTCCGAAGGCGCGATATCGATGTTGATAAACGGCGAAGGGCAGGTCGCCGATATGAAGCCCGTGCTGCAGGTCGCCGATATACGGCTTGTGAACACCCAGAACCAGAGCAGCGCCAATGAGCGGTACCGGATTATGCTGTCCGACGGGGAGTTCCTCCAACAAGGGATGTTGGCCACGCAGCGCAACGATCTTGTTCGGTCACAGCAGATCCAGAAAGGCTCCATTATTCAATTGAATCAGTTCGTCTGTAATGTCATCCAAAATCGCATGTAATGTCTCCTTTAAAACTCAGTTTTATATCCAATTTTACTAATCTACGATATATGAACCGTATCGATTTTCGCGCCTTTGTGTTAATCTGGATGATAAATGATTTTTACTTCTAATTTCTATAGGTGTTTATTTGATGTTCTCAAAACTGATTTCGGTGTCTGGGTTTTATCTCTATCATTGAATTATTTATGAGAGGATATTGTTTATAGGTTCAATTTGGGAAATCGAAAAGTTCCAGTATTTTTTAGTTAGTGTCTGTCATTTTATAAATTCCTTCCATTGAGTTTGACATCTCTTAGATACATACATAGTAATGAACTTGTATTTGCATGTTATAATTTTTTTTTTTTTGTCTTTCTTTAATGTAAATTATTGTCTTGAATTGTCAAGATTTCACAATCTGTTTGATTTCTGGACCTCTGGTCATGATCATTATAAGATGCATCTAATTCCCAAATGGCTGACACATTTCTCCTTAACATCACAGCAGAGAAGGCTGTCAACTGTTTTGTAGTGTTATATGAGTAATTTAAAAATTAAGACAATGCAATATATGAGTGTTTGTGTATAAATGTAGACGCTTTAGTAGTTCCACATAGGTTATGTTCCATATGAACCTTCTGCAGTTCACTTTAGCTTTATCCCCTTCACATGTTCCTGTACCTCATTTTCTTCATGATAAATATTATTAACCTGTGGAATAGAATACTGTATAGTGATGCCTACCCTGGTTGTTGTCTTGGCTGTTATTCTGTTGTTAACTACTTGTTATTGACCCTTGAAATCCTGTGCAGGATAATCATTATCATTGAGGTGGATGTGATTCTTGACACGTGTGATCCTATTGGGGACCCGAAACAATTTCCTCTGAAGACGAATGGTAATACCCCCGTAACCCCTCCCATGGCAAGGACATCTCCACCAGTTCAGTCTTATGTGAATCAGTCAGGGTCTGCAACTGGCAATCCTCAGTCCTTTACTTCAGGGGGAGGTGCTACTGGCTTTGAAAGTAAACCAAATGTCTCTGGAGGAATTCCTTCTCAACCTTTTGAGACAAATCGCCAGGTTGGTCATGGTAGTGCTGTCAGCAATGTTGACTTACCTCGATGTAATTCTCCAAGTGCACCCGTTTATCCCAAAGTGGAATCTGGTGCTGGGGCTTCCAGACTTTCCACAAACAGTTATTTGCGCCCACCTCAGCCATCATATCAGCATCCATCACCAATGTTTTCAAATAGAGGGCCCGTAGCTAGGAATGAAGCACCTCCACGTATCATTCCTATTGCTGCTCTGAATCCTTATCAAAACCGTTGGACTATAAAGGCCAGGGTAACTGCAAAAGGAGAACTTAGACACTACAATAATGCTCGAGGTGATGGTAAAGTATTCTCTTTTGATCTTCTTGATTCCGATGGTGGGGAAATAAGGGTAACATGCTTTAATGCAGTGGCTGACCAATTTTACGACCAGATTGAACCAAATAAAGTATATTTGATTTCAAAAGGTAACGTGAGAGTTCTCCAGGACAGAGCAAAAGCTTTCAATAACCTGCGAAATGATCATGAAATTCACCTTGAAAGCACTTCAACAGTACAGCCTTGCTTGGAGGATGATAAATCAATTCCTCAACAGCAATTTCACTTTAGGTCCATAAGTGAAATAGAAGAAATGGACAACAATACTGTTATAGATGTGATTGGTATAGTCTCATCTATTAGTCCCAGTAGTTCAATCATGAGGAAAAATGGAACTGAAACTCTGAAAAGATCCCTCCAATTGAAAGACATGTCTGGTAGAAGCGTTGAATTGACTTTGTGGGGAAATTTTTGCAATGCAGAAGGGCAAACGGTTCAAAACATGTGTGATTCTGGTGTCTTCCCTGTATTGGCAGTGAAAGCCTGCAGAATCAATGACTTCAATGGGAAAGCAATAGGGACTATATCTCCAAGCCAAATGTTCATTGAACCTGATTATCCTGAGGCACACAAACTTAGGGAATGGTTTGACAAGGATGGGAAGAATGCCCCTGTTATATCCATCTCTAGAGAAACAACATCTATGGGCCGTACTGATGTGAGAAAGACCATCTCTCAGATCAAAGACGAAAAATTAGGGACTTCTGAGAAGCCAGATTGGATCACTATTAGTGCCACTCTAAGTTACATTAAACCAGAAAACTTTTGCTACAATGCATGCCCCATCATGATTGGGGAACGGCAGTGTAATAAAAAGGTCACAAATGATGCAACTGGAAAGTGGCTATGTGAAAGATGTGATAAGACTTTTGATGAATGTGATTATCGATACATTCTTCAATTCCAGATTCAGGATCATACTGGCTTGACTTGGGTAACTGCATTCCAGGAATGTGGTGAGGAGATCATTGGAATGCCTGCGAAAGAATTGCATTACATGAAAAATGAAGAACAGGAAGACGAGAGATTTCAAGAAGTTATGCGAAATGTTCTTTTTAAGAAGTATATTTTCAAATTGAAGGTCAAAGAGGAAATGTTTAGCGATGAGGTGCGTGTAAAGTCTACTGCAGTAAAAGTTGAGAAGGTTAATCCCCAATCAGAGACCAAATATATTCTGGACATGATTGATAAGCTCAAATCAGAGGAATTTAATTCTGTGGCTCCAAATGCTAACAATGTAGCTCCAAGCTCAGGACTGAACAATACTGCATTTGGAAGTGGAATTAGAGAAAGTGGGAGTAATGTTATGAATTATGGCAGCAGTGCTGGAACTATTGGAAGCAGAGTGCAGACAAGTCAAGCCGGTCCATTTGGGAATCAATATGGCGGTTCTGGGCAAGCACCGCCTGGAAGCAGAGTGCAGACAAGTCAAGCCGGTCCATATGGGAATCAATATGGTGGTTCTGGGCAAGCACCGCCTAGTTCCCATATGTACACAAGCTGTAACAATTGTGGTGGCACGGGCCATAACTCTGTGAATTGTCCTAATGTCACGAGGAATCAAGGTCAGGCATATGGAGGCAGCAGTGGCTTCAACAGTAGAGTAGGTTCTGGGCCAAGTGCCGGTGGTGGTGCTTCTGATAAGTGCTATAAGTGTGGGGAGACTGGGCACTGGTCAAGAGATTGCCCTGGTGCTAGCAATGTTCCTCCCGCTTATGGAAGCAATACAATGAACCCGGGTGGTGGTGCTTCTGATAAGTGCTATAAATGTGGGGAGACTGGACACTGGTCAAGAGATTGCCCTGGTGCGAGCAATGTTCCTCCTGCCTATGGAAGCAATACGATGACCCCGGGAAGATTCGGGAATGTTCCAAGGCAACATGTTGGTGGGTTCTGAGTTTATGCCATGGCAACTCTCTAGCTGCATCCTATGATTGCATTGCCTGCATAATCTCTACTCTTATTCCTGTACATTATCTTGTTTACTTTGGATTCAGCTTCTCTTCTGTTGGTGTTCTCTATCAATGTCTTTGGGGTTCAAATTTTGCATTAATTATTGTTGCTTTGTTTTCCTTGGTTGGCTATTAGGCCTTTATCTGCTTAGAAACAGAGTTTTTGATGCTCCCAGTCTTGTAAATGTATTTATCTACTATTTCCTCAACTGAATCTAAATTAGTAGACCAAATCATTCTCGTTTATTTGACACTTTTTATTTTTAAAAGGTACATTTTTTTCCTACCAATTAAAGCATGTCATGAGGTGACACCGATTATTTGCTTTCAAAAGTATACAATTAATATTTGTCAAGAAATTTAATCATGTCTTTGGTCCACATGAGCAGCTCAACTGGTCATAAAAGTAAAATTTATCATAAGAAATTACTCGGTATAAATTAATAACAATAGATGAAATAGATTCTTTGTGTATACTAAGACTATATGGTCTAATGGTATTCGGGTTGGACTTTCATTTGGAATATTATTATGAGTTCGAGCCTTAGTGGAGACGTTATTGGTTCATTGTGTTTCAGTACTTTGAGAAAGTACATGAACAGATACTACAATGTAGTAGAACCAGTAGCTTTCAAAAAAATAAATACAATTCTTTGTGTATAATAAGTAAAAATTTAGCCTATATTAATTAGTTGAGTCACATTGATTTTTTTACCCTGGGAGGAATTCTTCAATTTAATATTTTGTATCCCTATTGAAGTTAGTGGGTCAAGAGGCAATTAAATTGTTCGGTGGATTTTATGAAAATTGTTGGGGCCAATGGAATGAATGATTTCATGATGTTGATTGCAAATTCATTATTGTTAATGATTAATTTTCGAGAAATGTGAGTGATAAAACGAAACATCATAACACTTTTGTATCCCATTCTAATTATGTATTTTCAATACCTTTGAGCATTCAAGTTAATTATCTACCACACTTTATTTTCTTGTAATCTTTTTAACTTGGAAACCAATCCTCCTACTTTTTTTAAAGTTTATTCGGAAACACTCTAATTTTGCAGCTTATTTTTGTTGTTAAGATCACATATTATATTTTCAAAAAAAAAGATCACATATTATATTTTATTTTGTCACAAAGTTTATTCGGAAACACTCTAATTTTGCAGCTTATTTTTGTTGTTAAGATCACATATTATATTTTATTTTGTCACAAATCCAGTCTCTAATTTTATTGTTAATGAATTATATAAATAATACATATGTTTTACTTTTGTTAATAGATTATTATTATTATTATTCTTAGTGTTTTTTAGAAGAATAATTTAGGAAAGTATAATCTATCATTCATAATGTTTATTTATTTTGACAACATACACAAGAAAAAAAGTGAACCACACAGTTTCAAGAATATTTTTTTTAGTAAATAAACTTTGTTGAGATTACCAATTTTAGCCAATTAATTATGATATAATTGTTTTGTTGTGCTTACATTTAGCTTCAATTATCACTAAAAATAGTCCATTTAGTATTCGCTTAACGAAATTTATTATCTTCAAAAAATAATAATTAAGAAAATCATAAATTGATAATCATTTCTTCGCGAGCTTATTAGATGGCGAAAATGATAGGCTTTCATAATTGTACTATTGCGTATTTGTATAGAGTTAACAAATTTCATTAAAAGAAATCAAATCAACAAGATTTGGAAATTCAGTGATAATTAAAAATTGAATGTGACTTTCAAAAAAAAATTGAATGTGTATATGTTAAAGTAATTATGTACAAAAAAATAATTATTGCATGATACTTGATGAATTAAATTTGATTTTCTCCCAAAACAATAGTACACATAATTGGTGTAGATTAGGGCTAAGATGACCTATATATTCATATCCATTGAAAAATTTTCATATTAAAGGTCACGTACGGAGAGGGTGGAATTCACTCATTTCTAGTAGCACGCTAAGAGCCTTATACGCATAGATTAAATGGTACTAGACAATTACACGATTTTAAATTTAATTTAATTTTCTCTCTTAAAAGGTTGAATTTTCAATTTAAAAGGCTCTTATACTTCGGTCCGACAAAGTGTGTGGGATGATGTAAATCACGCCCTACATTATCGCTGTCGAATTTTGATATTTTGTTATCTTCTTTCAAATACTGCATACTAAACTAGTGAGCTCGTGCGGACTCCAAATTTGATTTCTTTTGAGACTTGTTAATTGACCTTTTTTCTGTTTGAACTGGTTAGCTATGGACAGTCTACTCTGATTTACCTCATTTTGATCATTTGTTAGTTAGGACCAACAATTATACCATAGGCCCAGATTCAAAATACAGAATTTACATACTGAATGTTCACAATTTGAATTGTGAACATTCAGTATGCAAGGTGAACTCGGATCCAAAGAATAATTTAATAGCTAGGATTACAAGACATACTCTATTCACCGTTTTGACACATGTTTTAAAATCAATTGTGTGATTACATACAATGGATTTTTTTAAAAAATACAAAATTTATAGCTCCAACCCATTTTCAATTCTTCATTATGGAAATACTTCTCGTTTGTTTGTTTATTTATTTATTTATTTATTTATTTATTTATACATAGCTAACAAGTAAAAACAAATGCGAACAGTATCGTGAAGACTTTTTTTTCCAATTTTAAATAACAAATTTCAGCTGGTTTTTATAAATTTTAATAAAAAAACTTAATTTTATTTTCTACTTTAAAGTTATTATTATAAAGAAAATCCACTGAACACAATTTTTACTGTTTTTAATTTAAAAATATTGAGAATCTACAAATGGACAAAATAAAGTCAAGAGCATAAAGTAAACAAACGTAATGACTAACCAAATACAAACGAATGTGTCGGCAAAGCTAACATTTCAGTTTCTTTACCAAATGGGGCAAAGTAAAAATGTGCGAGGTTTTAAAATGTATCATTCAAATTACAAAATGTAAAATTATAATTCAAAATTTTTTAAAATAAATTTCAAAAAATATGAAAAGTGCACTACAAAAATAGTAATTAAAAAGTGTAATTCACGAGTCCTAAAAGTGCACTTTGAAACTTTATAGTTTTTGATGTTGATTTGTTGAGTTCCACTTTTACATATCATAATTTGTATTTTTGTAGTTTGTGTGGTGCACTCTTAAAGTTCGCACATTCTTATTTGATGCAAGTTCTCATATAGTCACTACTCCTTCCCCCAAATACTATATGTATATGATATTGGACCATATAACAATGAGGTTTAAGTTTATGACGACACCTTATAAACGAGGTGACATGACACTTTTTATTAATTAGTCATTATAGTTAATCTTAAGCAAAATATCAAACAACTATGATAGTCTACTATAAAAGTTGTATAAGCTACCTAAATTGACTAGCAAGTTGTGATATGTTTACACAAATTGTCTGACCAACTTCCTGACCTAATAAGCTTCTTATATTAGAATTTGAAGTCTATAGTTTTAGTAATAGTAGTAATTACACTTATCTATCACTAAGGCTATTCGTGAGATGTTAAAAGTGTAATTAAAAATGTTATATATCAAGTGAGAATGACCCACACTTAGTAGTTTATAAAGCGAGACACATATCATAATTTTTTTTGAAAAATAAGTGGTACGATCTTAAATTTGAGATTCAAACTTAATTATGAAAGAAATAAATAAAAGTAGTAGGTGAAAATTAAGTAACCTGTCTGCCAAAACCAGTATGGAAACTTCAACTTCCATACCACCATTGGTACGTACGTACTGTTATTTATTTTTTTTCAGACGTAAAAACCTGTTCCACATTATGACCATTTATTACATATTAAATACATTATTGTTACATTTTATTCATACATTATTTATTTATACCTAATAGAGTCGGCATATTGTAAAATTGTTCAATTATAATGAATGTTATATACATAAAATTAATTGTAATATACACAATTATACCCAACTACACGACAATAATGCTGTAAAAAAAAACTTGTATATACAAGTTATTATTCAAAGATTAGATAAATTCTTTCATTTTTAAGTGACACGAAGAAAATTTGTAATTACTATCTAATAGTCAGACTAATTTGGTTGAGATCGCTTTAAATTTTTCGAGAGAGAGGTAGAAGAGGAAGAATGAGACTACTTGGAGACTGCTCGGAAGATTTGTGATTTACCTCATTTATAATAGAACAAAGATAATTTAAAGTGGACAGATCTCTTGTGTGTACCGACATTTAGTTCTGTCTATTATTTTATTGAGTCATCGTGATTTATATTATCTTTGGAATTTGAAATTTAACTTGTTGGGGGAAGAAGCAATAGAACAAGGGTTTTGAAAATTTAGTATTAATCTAACACAAATCCAGAAATTTAATGTAAAAAACATAAGAGCATGAGCTAGCTGTAGAACATGAAGAATTGAAGAGTAGACAGCTAGCGAGGCACTGTTCAAACAATCTGAGAAAAGGATAGAGAGAGGGACAAAAATATCATTGGATAAGGCGAAAGAAATTCGAGTCATAAAGATCTCAGACTCTTTGCTTTTTCTTTCTTTAAATTTTGTTTTTATGGGTTCCGATATTAATTCAACAAGTCATCTTTTTTCTTTCCTATCTCTTCGTCTTCTTCCTTGTGTTTCATCTCATTTCTTTTATATACGCGTATGTGATGTGAAGTGACACGGATATCTCATACTCTGGGCTCTCTGCCTCTGTTCCATATCTTCTTTCTCCGCATTTCTTTCCCTGTAGCCTGCAGGCAGAGAGCGGGAGACAAATCTTGGGCTATTGGGTCTTCCCTGTTTGTCAGATATCGAGTGCCACAGGTACTTTCTTCTTGTCTTCTTCTTTTTTCTATTTTTTTTTTCTTGCTCGCTTTCTGTTTGTTTGTATGTCTGTGTTAAAATTGATTGTCTGGAGCTGTATTATTGGCTCTGTGTTACTTCTGTGTTCCATGATTTCGTGTCAGATCATTCCACTTGGCCATTGCATTGTGGCGCTTTGAGGTCCTTTTCACATTCAATGACCCTTTTCTCTTTCTTGGATAAGTATAATTGGGATTTCTTTAGTTTTGCCAAAGGGATATCATTTCCCCTTGGTTTGGATTTTCATTGAAGGATTTCAAGTTTAATTAATTTTTTTTTTTTTTTTTTTTCTATTCTGTGCAACTAGTTCTTGATTCTTCTGGTGTGATTGCTACACCTAAAAAGGGTAAGTTCCAATATCTCTACTCAATTTTGGAGAGATACCGTATGGGATAAGATAAAAAGGGGACTGATTAGTCAACATTGATATTTTAAGCAATGGCAACTTTTTCTTTCTTTAGTTCCTTCAGGCTATTGTTTTCATAGGTGCAAGTGTTCTGCTTGAGACTTTCCCTGATTGTGGTTTCTCTTTTGCATGATATCGATTAGGTGTTTGAAATGGACTGTGGTTTTTTCCTTTCTATTTGCCTGTTTTCAATGCCCTAGGAGGCAAAGAAGCATGGTTGGTCATCACTAGGACCACCAATTCCATAAAGCTTTGGGCCCTTAACATGTGGAAAACAAAAGGGAAAGTGACAGGAAAAGTTCAATGCACTAATAGTACTATCAGATATTCAGATCACATGTTTGTATTAGTTTTAAATTGCCAGTTTCGACCATTTGATCTGGGTTGTCCTCTGTTCTTCTCTAATGTGGATGCTCTTTCTATCTAGCATATAATCTTCTAATGTTGTGGTTGCTCTTTCTGCACTCTTTGATTGAAGAAAGTAATTATTTCTGATTTCAAACTGAATCTCTCAAACAAGTTGAAGCATTTTACATATCATATGGTTTACAGAATTTCCATCTTGAGCTAGGCAGATATTAAATTGCTGGATAAATTCAATTCAATGTTTGTTTTAATGTTCTTATATGTTTAATAATTTTTCTGCATTTCTATATAAAACATCATTGTAGTGCATATTTTTGTTTTCGGTGAGCTGCTCTTTTTAGTTTTAATACTACTCCAGCTCTTTCTTCTTTGTGGTCCACTCAATGTCTTATGTCAATTTGATGCCATTCTTGAAATTGCCAAGTGTTGGAATCCTTTCCTCCTATTTTCAAAGTGGTCTTGATCTTTTTTTTTTTTTTTTTTTTTTTTTTTTTTTTTTTTTTCTCTTCTTTATGGATTTATTTATTGATAATTTCCGGGCAAGCAGTCAATTTAAATGATCTTATAGTATCATAGATTTATTGTTTGGTAAAGCTTAGTGATTTAGAAGTTGATATGTTCATGTGCAGATAGGTAATAAAATTTGGGACCATGAAGCATAACGATGGGAAACCCACATCTCAACCAGAAAAAGGTTCCAGTGTAGTCGCCATGGCACTATTGTTTGTTGTGCTATGCAGTCTTTCATTCTATCTTGGTGGAATCTTCTGCTCTCAGGGGTGGAGATATGTAAATATGGATCTTGCTAAGGCCCTTGGGTATCCCAAGGAACCTGCTGTTTGCCCACTGCAAATAAACGCCACTTCCTTTGCAGAATGCAGTCCTGACTTGCAGGACTACACTCCATGCACAGATCCAAAGGTATATCCGATTACTATTACCATGCTCTGAAGGCAATGTTTGTGGCTGAGGGTTGTTATAATATAACGGTAAATATGGCTAAAGTATTGTTAACATTGCAGAGGTGGAAAAGGTATCGCGGTCATCGATTATCTTTCTTGGAACGCCACTGCCCTCCAATATTTGAAAGAAAAGAATGCTTGATCCCTCCTCCAGAAGGCTATAAATTGTCAATCAGATGGCCAAATAGTAAAAATGAATGTTGGTACAGGTAATGTATTCTTGATCTTTGTTATCATAGAGCAGTCTTCTCTTAAAGCAATTTGGCAGCTTTGGATCCTGGTTTGAATTCCCATTCAAGGCTAACATGCTGTTTCAATCTTTGTCTCAGGAATGTTCCATTTGATTGGATTAATAAGCAAAAATCAAATCAGCATTGGCTGAGGAAAGAAGGTGAAAAGTTTTTTTTTCCTGGGGGAGGTACTATGTTTCCAAATGGTGTTAGCCATTATGTTGATGTGATGCAAAATCTGATTCCGGCTATGAAAGATGGGACAATTAGGACTGCCATTGATACCGGATGTGGGGTAAGTGCTCTTGGTTTTTTATCTTTCAAATTCTGTTACCTTACAAGGCACTGAAACTGTTTACTTTTAACTTTTTTTTTAAAAAAATAAATGATCCATACATTAAAGAATAAAGAGCCATATGCTTGGCTAATCAATGGCATACCTAAGATGGTTTCTTAGCCTTTTTGTTTTTAGAGATATTTTGCTTGAAGTTGGCTTGACAGAAGTAAAAAACAAAGCTTTCTATTTTTGATGATTTCTTAGCCTCTTTTTGTTTTTAGAGATATTTTGCTTGAAGTTGGCTTGACAATTAAATGCTTTTTCATCAAACTTAGTCGATATTTATTGCTTGTTATTTCATGATTTCTGGAAAGATTGTAATACTGGATGGCACCAAAGTACAGTTACTGAAAAGTTCAACCTTAATTTCATTTTTCCCTTGCTTTAACTCTGGTCAAGTATTGTAAACTTTTTTTAGATTAACTTTTTCCTGATAAATAGGTTGCCAGCTGGGGAGGGGATTTGCTAGATCGTGGGATCCTAACAGTTTCTCTTGCACCAAGAGATAATCACCAGGCTCAAGTTCAGTTTGCATTGGAACGTGGAATACCTGCCATCTTGGGGATTCTTTCAACACAACGTCTTCCTTTCCCTTCAAGTTCTTTTGATATTGCGCATTGCTCAAGATGCCTGATTCCATGGACTGAATTTGGTAATTGATATATGACTGAGTTGATTCTTTCTTGCTTTTGATTGTGTCTTAAGTAGTTAAGTTATTGAATGAGTGTACTGAATTCGGTAAATGGTCCCGAAGAACGTTTCCGCTAAATGGTCCTGACCAATTAAGATCTTATTCCTTTCAGGTGGACTTTACCTTTTTGAGATACATCGTATACTGCGCCCTGGAGGTTTCTGGGTCCTCTCTGGTCCTCCTGTTAACTATGAGCGTCGTTGGAGAGGATGGAACTCCACTATTGAGGAGCAGAAATCAGATTACGAGAAACTGCAAGCATTGTTAACTTCAATATGTTTCAAGCCATACAACAAAAAGGGTGACATTGCTGTGTGGCAGAAATCATCTGACAACAGTTGCTATAAGAAGTTTGATAACCCGGGTACCTACCCTCCGGAATGCGATGATGGCACTGAACCGGATTCCGCATGGTACACGCCACTTCGGCCCTGTGTTGTTGTACCAAACCAAAAGTCCAATAAAGTAGCGTCATTAGAATCCCTCCCGAAATGGCCACAGAGGTTGCATACTCCTCCAGACCGTATTTCTAATGTTCATGGAGGGCGTGGTAGCGCGTTTAAACGTGACGATAGCAAATGGAAGACCCGAGTGAAGCACTACAAGAAGTTGCTTCCCGCACTTGGAACCGATGAAATACGAAACGTGATGGACATGAACACAGCGTTTGGAGGTCTCGCTGCTGCTCTCATTGATGATCCCCTCTGGGTAATGAACGTGGTTTCTTCTTACAGTGTAAATACACTTCCAGTGGTGTATGACCGAGGTCTTATTGGGACACACCATGACTGGTATGCCCGCAACACATTTTTGTCACTCGGTTCATTATTGTGTCGAAGCCATGCTTATGCATTCGATTGTTTTGTTCGCAGGTGTGAGGCTTTCTCCACATATCCTAGAACTTACGATCTTCTTCACCTAGATGGCCTGTTTACTGCTGAGAGTCACAGGTAACGACATTATCAATATCAAATATGTTCTTCCCTTTCTCGATTTCTTTCTATGGATCCATACTGCCCAAAAAGCGAAAAAATGTGGGGACTATATTTGTAACCCGCTCACTGGGATAACTATGCAGATGTGAAATGAAGTATGTTCTTCTAGAAATGGATCGCCTTTTGCGACCAAGTAAGTATGCAATAATTCAAGAATCCAGCTTCTACATAGACGCTATTGCGACCATAGCCAAGGGGATGAGATGGGACTGTCGCAAAGAAGACACAGAGAAGGGTGTAGAGAAGGAAAAGATATTGATTTGCCAGAAGAAACTGTGGTATTCTTCTAAGAAGCAGAGTTAACCTTGTAAGGGTCAAAAGATAGCAGAGCATAGCTAGGAAAATTGTTAGTCCTACACTGCTCATACAGAAATTTCTTGATCTCTACATATAATTGGAATTCAAGAAATTAGCTTTACTTAGTATAATGATATGTTTAGGTAATCTCTGGTTATGCTATGATGATGGTATTGGGCTGTGGCCACTGTTTTTTATAATGTATGTAAGTAGTTTGTTTCTATGGTTTTAATGAATGGAAATTTGCTACTTCATAGTTTGCCACTTACCTAGATTTCTTGTCATTGCCACACCCAATCATTATTTCATGGACTAGGTCCACACAGCTGTGTGGACCATAAATAAAATATACTCCGTACATTTATGTACTGAATGCACATTATTTGAGTACTGATATTGAAAGTATATATAAGTTTGTGTATTATCAAATAATGTACATTTAATACATAAATAATGTATATTTAATATATGAAAAATATACTTTTTATTTATCATTCATAGAAAATTTTGCTGATCTCCCTCCTTCACAACAACATGACAAAATATCAATATTATTTCAGCTTTAAAAATTATGAATGATTATTTCTGGCTTATAACCTCCCCATGATGAGATTGCACCTAATAACCCCCAACTCTGAATAGATTTTATGCTTTTAAAAGGAAAAAGAAAAATCTATTCTTTAGAATATTAGTTAGGTCTTCTTCATTTCACAATCTTTAATTAGGGTGTGCATTTGGTTGTTTCAATTTTGGCAGTTTATTACTAAATTTTAGTTTATTTGACTACTATTAATTGTTTGAGGTCAAATCATCAATATAAGTGTTTGATTAATTATTTTTTTATATCAACTTATTGCTACAAAACGTTAAAATTCAAAAAGATGTTCAAAATAATTTTTTCGAACAACTTTTTAAGAAAGTCATTTTATATGTAATCAGCTATCAGCTAACAACTAATTTACTAAACATATTTCTACAATCAGCTAATGATATCAACTAGTTGAGTCCACTAACCCAATTAGCTAACAATTATTTACCAAACACCTCATTTTTTCCTATCTTAATGTTTTCTACTTTTCTCCATTATATTAAAAAAATATTTGAATAAACCTAACCAATTTAAAGCACATATGTATTGGTAGTCTACAATACAATTTCTGCAGATGGAATGTCATAAATAATTTATTCCTAATGTTAATTCATATAATAAAGGTTTAACGTTTATATGAATCAAGTGGGAGACTATTAGATATAGACCCTGTTTGGTAAAAAATTGACTTAAAGGCCAATTTTAACTTATTTGACCACTATTAATTGTTTGATTTAGATGAAATATCAATAGAAATGTTTGGTTAATTAGCTTTTTGCAATTTCAAAAGGCTAAAATTCAAAAAGCTACTCCAAGCAACTTTTTCAATTAGCTTTTTGAGAAAAGAAATTATATCAAACAGCTATCAGCTAACAGCTAATTTACCAAACACTTTTCTACAATCATCTAATGTTATCAACTATTTATAACTTTTAATTAACACAATCAGCTAACAACAAACAATTGTCAGCTAACCGCCATTTTACCAAACATGGCCATAATTATTTCCTGACATTGATTTATATAATAGAGATTATAATTCCATAAGGTATTCACCGTGAGTCTGTGATGATTAGTGATGTGTAAATGCGGAATTACTGAGTGAAATTCCCCTCCATCTCATTCTGTTAAATTTTAAGTTTATTAAGTGTTAAAAAGATGTATGTTGGAAAAGGTTATGGGTTTCAGGAGGTTTCACAATCTTAAATGGATTTATATTCTTTCTCCCAAAGAGATTTCTATTCCTAAAAGGGGATTTTCCATTCCTCTTGAAAGATGATTTTTCATTACATCTATAAATACTCATGCAAACTCTAGGGGTCATAAAAGTTTTATAGTCTCTAAGTTTTCCAGTTTCTATATCATCTGGAGGTGATTAAGACATACAGATAAGAGAGGTGAATATTTATTCAATTTAAAGATGCATAAGTTTCATTTTTATTTCTATTTAATTAAAAACTCATGATCATGAGCATTGTTTAGTTGATTGATTTTATTTACATACGATTCACTGTTAAATGTGCTTCCCATTCAAGTTATAAGCACATAAGATTAAATTAACATGGAAAAGGTCTGCAAAACGTACATATTTTTTGTAATTGCACTATTGTTATGGGGTGCAGTACAGTGGCATTCCCCGGCCAGCTAAGACACCTCATCTCCCACCACACACCAAATTGCCAAAACAAATATTTGATTATATGTGGAGAATAATTTTTAAAGCAGCCCAATTTGGGGTGTGGAATAATGGGCATTGGGATAGATGAGTATTTTTTTTTTTTTTTTTTAATCCTTTTTGTGTTCCCATTTCCTAACCGACCTCTATCTTGACCTAACCTGATTACATTATGTTCAATCCTATTATGTATGTATGTGTATGGCCATACTCTTTCTCATCATTTGCACCACTTCATTCCATGGTGATTGGAGAATTGAAATTAAAAAGGAATCTTCTAATAATTTTTTAGATGAATAAATGAGATATTTGAGTGTTTGATAAATAGTTGTTGGTTGATTAGGTTAGTGGATTTGACTAGTTGATAACATTAAATGATTGTAAAAAAATGTTTGGTAAATTAGTTGTTATCTGATAGTTGCTAGTTGATTACATACAAAATGACTTTCTCAAAAAAACTTATCGAAAAAAGTTACTTTGAGTAATTTTTTTAATTTTAACGTTTTGAACCAATAAGCTGTTATAGAAAAAACTAATTAATCAAACACTCATATTGGCTATTTAAAAAGTCTTCAAAATCTTAATATGATAAAGTTTATAAAAATTAATAAATTTTTAAATATTTTTTTAAAATCTAATATCGCCAAACTTTTAAAGACTAGGGTTGAATTAAATACCAATAATTTACAAGCATTTTGTGCTTAAATGGCACTTCTATGATTTTCCCTTGAGAGAAGGTCACAAGATTGAACCTCGTAGTGGAGAAAGTATAAATATACATTACCTTATAATAGAGTGAATAATATTAAAAAAAATACCAATAATTTTACACAAAATTTATAAAAATCTAAATTAAATATAACCTAACTTTTTCATACTATACATATATAAAAATACAAACCCCAATAATATTACGTTGAATTAAATATCTTTCATGCTTAAAGCAAACATGATCTGATCCACCCATCATCAGAAGATGAGAACAAAAGCGGCGGCTGAAAAACACGTATGTCCGTATATATACTCCTTTTTGTTACGGGATTATGAATACGGAGTATTGTCAGATACAAATATTAAATAAATATACTCCGTAGTCACAAATATATATATGTATATATATATATATAACAATAATACTATAATTTTTTTCACAATACCAACGATCGGGTTTTGATAGAATACTAGAAGATCTCCGGATTTCTTCTTCCGTGGCTCCCTTAGGTTATGCCGTTTACCCCTCAGGTTTCTCTCCCTCTCTCTCTATCTCTCTTGCCCTATGTATCTTTCTATGGATTTGTGCCGGTCTGTGTGCGGATTTCTGGCTTTTCTTGTCGAATCTCAGCTTCTTGGATTTGGGGGATGAATTGGTTGTTTTTCCAACCCCCTGGGTCTATGCTTTATTGTTTTCATAATAAGATGTTTCTTTTCCTTTGATTGTTGTGCTTGTTGGGATTAATTTTGCTGTTTTAAATTCGGTTAAGGGTTTAACGTTTTGGTATTCAATCTTTTCTTTGATCTGCATTTTTCAAGTTTCTGTTTTTATTTTTGATATTTAATTTTCTTATTATGCTGATTTCAGGTTTGATAAATTAATATGGGTAGAGAAAGATTCTTATTTTGTCAAATTGATATTTGGTTTTCAATTTTGTTGAATTCATGGTGTTTTAATGGGGAGAATCATTCTAGGATTGGTTGAGAATGCATTCTTAGCTTTTTTCCTTGCTTTTTTGAATTTTATCATTTTATATATGTTGTTTTGGGGAAGAACATGTTGCACCAATTGTTTATTGTCTGGGTTATTTCCCGCTGATTACGTGATTAGCTCAATAACTCGATTCTTGATATTTCAGATCTTGTTAGACTTCAATTCCAAGGGATTATTATTACTTAGGACATGGAGCAAATGTGCCTTTGGTCAAGTTGCTACAAGTATCAAGGTTTTTCATTCCAGGAAGTGCTTGATTGGCGGTTTCTCACCTTTGGAGATTTCCTTGTTTCCTTTGTCAATTGTACTTAGTGAGCAGTTTTCCTTGAATGATCTGCACACGAGGCCAAATGCAGATTCCTTCTAAGATAGGTGTTGGATGTTTTGTTAAATTTGAGAAGCAGCACCCCTTGTTATGTCCGTTGTGATTCTACTGTTAAGTGTTGAGTTCATCATCGTTTGAGGTATTGGTTAGTTTTATAATGTTTCCTGTTAACCATATTCTGTATTAGACATGATGATTCTTACATCTGATCTCTCTTTCGTCTCTACTGCAGGAAAAAAAAAAATTGAGAGCAAATAAATGATGTTTTTAAACATCATCAAGAATAGACTGCATACACTCTTGTTTAGTGTTGTAACTTCTTAGATGCATATTCTTCTCATTGTAAGGCACCTGTTAGGAGTGATCTGGTTCCCTTGACTGAAGAATCAGCAGCAACGTTGTCTAGTATATGTGAGGAGAGCTTGTTTTGCTGTTTAAGAAGCCACTATCAACCATATATTGAGCTGAAAATCAAACCTGTTTCATTGGGCTGCATTATGTTTTAGTTAGGCTGTGGGTGATTTCAAGATGATTAACAGTCCTTGCCTGAACTTGTTTTCTCTACCCAGTGTTCCAAGTCACTGCTTTGAGGTCTTTGATGTGGCCATAAATAAGGTTGTGAAGCTCCTCCATCATAATCTTGCTGGATTTGGGTGCAAGACAATGCAAAATTAACAGTGGATTTTGTGGAACCAGCCAGGCTAGTCGTTATATATAATAGTCCTCTTTTCCAGGCATCTATTAAAGGAAAAAAAAACATACACGTCCTCTGTGTGTGTTTCCTTCTCCATCTCCAATTAATTGTGCTGTGTGCTGGTCAATTAAAAAATGGATAGGTCAGTTGGTTCATAGTTTATACTTCTGTCATCAGTTCTATTTTTTTTGTTGCTTTGTCTTGATTTAGTTTACAACTGATGGCTTGGAGCAGGTACAAGATAATTAAGGAAGTTGGTAATGGTACTTTTGGAAATGTGTGGCGAGCACTAAATAATCAGACTGGTGAAGTGGTGTGTGTTATTTTGGTTTTAAAAAAAGTTGAGCATTTGGTTTTGTGTTTTCCCCTCTCAAGTTAACCTTGTCATTTGAACAGGTAGCAATAAAAAGAATGAAGAAGAAATATTTTTCATGGGAAGAATGTATGAACTTAAGAGAAGTGAAGGTACTATTCAATTCCTTTTTACTCCTAGCTTTTAGCCTTTTATTGGATTTTCCTTACATTGTAGACATAAATGACTTCAATTTTCCTTGGCAGTCTTTGAGGAGAATGAGCCATTCAAATATTGTGAAGCTAAAGGAAGTGATCAGGGAAAATGACATCTTATTTTTTGTGTTTGAATACATGGTAGGTGGCCATAAACAGTGTCTTTTTAATTTTGTTTAAATTCTCAGGGCTTGTTTTTATCTTCTCTTTACCTTCTTCCAGGAGTGCAACCTATATCAGCTTATGAAAGACAGAGCAAAGCTTTTCTCAGAAAGTGAAGTGAAAAACTGGTGCTTCCAAGTATTTCAAGGTCTTGCATACATGCATCAACGGGGATATTTTCATCGTGACCTTAAACCAGGTAGTTATTTGCAGTGGTTTGTTGACTTTATGATTTTGATAATGTGTGCGTGTATTAACTTATATAACCATGCTGTTGGAGCTTAAAAACTGTTCGTTAAACACTTAAACCAAGCTAGTATAGTTAGCTGTTGCAACATCCACATCGCTTCAGTTTTTACTGGGCCATGTTTTGGTTTTAACAGTTGAAGAAAACACATTACAGAAATATTTACATCTTTGGCTGAGTCAATGCCTTAGTTGTTAATGTCCCATACAGTTGTCGTCAATATCTCTGACCCAGAATACTGTTTACTTGTGAGATTTATGCACTGTTACGGTGATTTATAATTTTCTTTCTTCTTTGTGCTTGTACTAATAAGAACTTATTTATGTGCCAAGTTGTTCAGTGTGTTAGTGTTGGTTAGACCCTGTGAGGAATGGTTAAGAGCAATGGTACATGAATAGTTTGCCAACTCATCTACCATGCAATTACAATGTTTCAGTGTCTTTATCTTTTCATCCAATGCGTTGTATGCAACTGTATATTTGTGGTAATGTCTGTGCTCATATAATTTTGGTGGTTGTGCAGAGAACTTATTGGTTTCAAAAGATGTCATTAAAATAGCTGATTTTGGTCTTGCTCGGGAGATTAATTCTGAACCACCATACACTGAATATGTTTCAACACGCTGGTATCGGGCCCCTGAAGTTCTTCTCCAGTCCCCAACATATGGCTGTGCTGTTGGTATGTATTTAGAAAACAGTTTAGTTTCCTTTTCATTTTCCCTCTGGTGTATGACTGTCTGTTCTGCTTCAGATATGTGGGCAATGGGTGCAATAATGGCTGAACTGCTTACGCTTCGCCCTCTGTTTCCAGGCTCAAAGTAAATCCTTACTTTCTTATGTATCCATCTGCTATTTTTATATTCATTGATTGATGCTTATAGATTCTATCGTTCTTTGATGCAGTGAAGCAGATGAGATCTACAAAATTTGCTGTGTATTAGGGACCCCAACAAAGACCGAATGGCCCAATGGACTTGAACTTGCTAATAGCATTGGCTACCAGTTCCCAAAGGTTGTTGGCGTACATCTTTCTGCACTTATACCTTCTGCCAGTGAGGATGCAATTAATCTCATTACGGTGAGGAGTTCAATTTTTCTGATGTTTGATGTCTCTATGATCTGAATTCCTAGTATTGGATCAGCATTTCAATCATTCTGCTCACAATTTATTAATTTATCCGCTTCATATGTTAATTTTCCTGCAGTTGCTTTGTTCATGGGATCCCTGCAAGAGGCCTACAGCTGTAGAAGTCCTTCAGCATCCTTTCTTTCAGGTGGCTCGTCGTTTCCTTTTCAGTGCCCTAGTTTGTTATTTTGTTTGTATTTAGCAACTACAGGTCGATAGGTGCAAGAATGGGATCAGTTAATGAATTAAATTATTAAATTTGATTGTACTTTATATTGCAGAGTTGCTTCTATGTTCCGCCATCCCTACGCCCCAAGGCATACCTCCCCAGAGCACATTCATCAGGCAATACCCCTGGGTATACTACCGCTGGAACGAAGCCTATATTGGAACAGAAATCCAAGAAATGGTCCTCAGGGACACTATCCAATTCTAGGTCCTATGGTGACTTTTGTTCTGCAAAGTCACATGTGCCCTTGAACTCAGGTAATGTGTGAAGAATGTTTGAACTGCTATTTTGAGCCCGATGAACTGATATTGTCATCCTTTAATGGATCTCTCTCTCCATATGAGAAAAATATTTTCTTCATTTGAACGCATAACGAATCGGTCAATCTGACATATTATTCTTTTTATATAGGTGTACAAAGAAAATTGGAGACGAACTTTCAAGTACGTTTATTTTGGATTTCATCTTATTCGCAAACAAATGGATAAACCTTGTCTTTGATCTGATCTCTTCTTTTCTTATTATCTGTACAGGATCCAAAGAAGCCTGTTAAGCCCCCCGAGGACTTTGTGAAGCAACAACCGAAATATCTACCCCCTGCAAAGAAAGTTCAAAGTAAGTTGCATAGCACAAATGAAATTTACTGTTGCAATTAGGCATTAGTTCCTGGAACAACAATGCATTTGTCCCTTTAATGTCTAGCATTGTTACTAATGACCCCTAAAATGAAGGATTAAATAATGCATTGCATGATTCACTTCCATTTCTATAATGACCGCAAATTCACTTGGTGATATGCTTTCATTGACAGTGGCGAGTTCTATGGTGAAGCCTCATGGAGTCTCGAATGCAAACGAGAAGTTGGCGAACATAACTGTTCCTTCTGGCAGACCTACTTTCAAACAACCATTACCTCAACCTATGAAGGCTGGAGGATGGCACGGGCCACCTGCTATGCTCCTCAATTCCCAAGATATGCTTCCAGGAAGAACTTACTCGAGGAAAGTGGCGGGATGAACGATGAAGAATGAACGAGAATCACTACTATATTTGCTTGTTTTCTGGTGCAATTTATGTTATTATGTTCTAGTGCCTGGCTATGTTAGGGTGTGACTGTGAACCCTTTTTTTGCTTCTGTTTTTGTTTTCTGAATGGTTTTACCAACGTTGGTTGTTCCCTGCCATGTTTTACCATGACAGTGTTAATAATAAATTCTGGTTGGAGTTAATAAAATACTTTTGCCAAATTCTGGTCATAAGTGTGTTGTAAGAAAAGGCTGTAATATGTTTACCCAGAAGAGCCTAATGATCCAGGAAGGTAAAGAGAAGATAAAAACAAGCCCTGAGAATTTTCCAAAATCATGTAATTACATATCCAGTTAGACAGCATAATGACTAGAAAAAGACACAAAACCCTTAGCCAAAGAGTGTTGCCCCCTCCATGTATGTACTGACAGACAAAACTGTTCCATTTTATGTTGGACTTGAAGGTACGAGGTTGCCAGCCACTTGGTGAATTCAGTTAAGTCTTACTCCTAAAGGTATTGTGCTTGTATTCTCTCCCTGTTCTGTTCCCACCAGGTCTTTGCGTTCACCTCTCCAAATCGTTCTCGGCTGTAAGAATTAAACCAAAAGCTTATAGAATGGTTTTCAAGTTTTGTGATTATCTATCAGATCGTGATAGTAAGGAATTATATGTACCTGAATCTAACACGACGCAGCTCTCGTGTCCCATCAGCTAGTTGTCTGATGGTTATGAACACCCCGGGCTCATCCTGTTCTACCCACTCGGACTCCATGTCACTTGCATTGCTGATGGAAATGGAAGCCTCGTCTCTGGAATCAGTTGTCGTTCTTGATGCATCCATAGTTCCAGTTCCTCTATAGTAGTTCCTCTGTCCAGGAGTCATCATGGGGCTCTCCCTCACAGACCCAACCCGAGAATATGAGGAATCTCTCTGCATTACAGGTAAGTCCAACGAGGTTGTTAAGATTCTACTACACATGTTGTCTCTTTGCTGTTATCAGTTATCATCAAATTTTAACAAGGTGGAGGTGGTTTAAGTTACCCCATCCTCAGAACGCGAGGGAGTGTCGAGAGCTTGCTGGTTGAATCTCTGGACATTGTAGAGCTCCATAATTCTATCATAATTCTCTCCCCACCATCTCTGGGCTTGCCATTTGTTGAACATATCCCGGCTTCAAATCCAACATGCCAGAAAATCAAATCTTTAGTATGGCATAAGAAGAAGATGCAGACTATACAATTAACAGAACATGTTTAAGGATAAATTGTACCTGAAACGGATTCGTTTAAGGTCATTTCCACCGCGGGGAAGAGACACAAAAGTGATCTGAACACCGGGCTCCACCTGAGCTGTCCACTCCTTGGGTGCACTGTCATCTTCAACCACAACTTCACCAGACTGGGGAATCGAGTCCATACCGAGAAATCCAGAAGCAAATTTCGGGACAGGCAGAGGGGTTCTGTGATGACCATTTCTAGTGAAATCCCAAGCTGGTGTAGAACTAGAACTTCCTGGCTGAAAAGGGTATGGAACTCCCTCTGAGATTGTATCAAAATCTGGGTATGGTCTATGCCCTTTCCTGTAAGTGCTGGTGGGTGTGCTGGACTTGCATTTATATGCCCCAGAGACCTTCAATGCAATATCCTTTATCTGCAGATAATCAAAGCCACCCACTACAGATTAAGCTTCTTATAACTACTTGATCAGAAAATGGAAGGTCCAACAAACATGGGAGACAAGGATTAATCAGTAGCAGAGGATCATGAAAATAAAGCAATTTAGTATAGAACATGAAGATCTTGGATTTTCTTATTCTACCTGTATGATCAGCTCAACTAGTTCTCAGGTGATAGATTAGACAAAGATTTTCAAAAGTCACTAGAACTTGTGTTCATTTCCACCAAAATGTACGAGAATTTTCACCATTTAACATTACTCAACTAAGATTATCTAGCATTCTATGTTACTAGTTTACACGTTATTAGTTATATTTTCACATTGACAGTTGGCACTGTATGCAAGTTATTTGTTATCTTGTACTACTATTTTTTGTCAAAAGTACACATAGAAAAAAATACAATTTATAAAGCACAATGTATGACTTTATGAAGCAGTTGTAAACAAAAATTAAGCAATAAAAAAAAGCATAGGGTTCGAAACTTGAGCAATAATGAAAACATGTACAGTAAAAGAAAAGAGGGAAAGCAAGGAGGGGTAAAGGTGGAGGGAGGGGGTGATATGATTCTCTTATTATTGCATGATGATCATGGGACAAAAATAAAATAAAATAATGAATGGACCACAGGGGTGAAAGCAAAGAAATAAAATTATGAAACATGTAAACATATTGAGCCCATGACTCAGACAGATGATCCGAGATGTTCGGACCCACATCCATAGGTTGTCATTTGTCAAAGTCAATTTAATCATAAAATATTACAGTACTTGACAATGGTGAAGTCACTGTCTTAGGTACCATTAGTGCCCACACAAAGGTTTTACATTGGTCCTCCTCCTTCCCGCGTGCCCAACACCTTTCTCATTCATGGAACCACAACCTAGTCGGCCCGACACCCCATAAAACCGATCAATATCCTTAAATCAAACTTAAAACATTACTCATTAACCCAAATTAACTTAGTTTTCTCATATACGAATCCGGTGGGTCCAAAAGAGGGCATTGGACCCCACAAAGACGCAGAAAAAAGCGGGTTCGACATTTCACGAAATTGGAAAAAGAAATTATGCAGATAAAAAGCGACGAAGAAGCAGCAGCAGTGAAGGATTGCATGCAATGCAGCTTGAATGATAGCGTAGGGTAGGGTGTAGGATTAGAACCTGCGCCGTCAAGCTTTTGACGGAATCCTTCGCTCCGGCCGTCGCGCGTGGGCCCTCTTCCCCTCCATCATCCTCTATCTTCTGCTTACACGTGATGCACGTCAACATCTCCCCGCCCTGCCCTTATATCTCCACTGCAAAACACAATATTTCCAGATTCACTCAATAATATATAAGTTTTATAAAAATCAATAAATTATAAATAATTTGAATCAAATTTCGTGATAGGTGAAATGGTGGGGAAGGAGATCAGAGTAAGTTTAAACGAGAAAACAAAACAGTAGGAAGAGTGGTTGAACAAAAGACAGACAGAACAGAAATGTTACGTTGTTTAAGAAAATAAGAAAAGACGTGAAATGAAATCGAATAATAATGATTTTGCATCAAACCAAACCTATAAAGAAATCATAAAAGCAAAAGAGGGGTGAGATATATAAACAATGATATATAAACAGGATCGGAGCTGGGCACGGCAGCAGAGGAAAGGATAAAGGCTTCGTTCCTTGCAGTTATCAATAATTGATGAAGAAAATAAAATAAAATAAAATCCCCAAAAAAGGATAAACACATCTTTCTACTTTAAAAACCACGCACTCGTCCCAAGTAGCTTCTGACACCATTAATGGAATCGCGTACGGAGGTTGTAAACAAACGGCTACGTTGTTATTATTCTGCGTGAAGGTGGAAGGAATCAAAGAATATAGAAGAAGGGAGGTAGTAGAGAGACTTCGAAAAGGACGCACGCGAGTAGCAGTAAGGAAAGGAGGAATCGAGAAATCGCTATTAAGCAATGAATGCAGCAGTAGTCGCTTTGTCCACTCTCGACAGCGAACACTCATCGGACAAACAGACAAAAACCTTCACACCACTCCCATCCCCGACAGCGACCATTTCGAATATTCCGCCACCATCTCCGAGGAACGAACGTAACCTAGCTAAACAGACAACATTTAACATACTAAAACCACAAATCCATTTACCCGGATATATAGATAATGTTGTCCGCCGATTTCAATCGCACTAACGCTTCCGGCTGTTTCTCCGGCGCCGGTTTCGGAAAGTAACGGATTCTCAGCTCCCGCAGGTTTTACGTTAACATGGAGCAAAACAGAACCTCCGTTTCTCTCTCTCTCTCTATCTCTCTCTATACATATAGAGGAGGGAATGAGGAGTGGGAATATATAGATACAGGGAGTTTTGTATGTATCGATGATGGTACAGATAAAATGAGGGGAATGGAGACAAAGAAAGAGAATAAGTCGGGCAAGTGTTGAGCTATTTATAGTGGGAGATGACGCCGTCTCATAACGGAAGGCGTGTACTTGTGTAAGGGCAATGGGGGGAAGCCCCGCATTGAGGGGTTGTACGTTGGGGAAGGAAGGTGGGACGGTGGTAGGGGGAATCACAAAATGGACAAAAGGGTGTTGTGCGGTCTTCATTAGTGAAGACATGATGGGCCCAGCTGTCAAAGGTGTTACGTGTGGTGCTGGTGGTCACGTGTCGAAAGGGGAGTGGATATCAACCCTGCTTCTATAGTTCTATGGCCAAAGCTGAAATCATTATTGTGAGCATTATCAAAAATGTGGGATGATTTTGCCAAAATCAAAATGTGAAATGATTATATGAGGATTTGGTTGAGTTGGTAATAATGATTCATTAAAAAGGCTTAATTATGATGTTTATAGTTTCTTTTTTTAATCAATTTTATTATATATATATCATTGTACCTTGTACTAGAAAATAAATATATTTTATATTTTATACATATATTTAAAGTTTTAAAATTCTAGCATCGATATCATGATAGGAGATACGAATCATGAAAAGTTTTAAAACTAGGGATTTGATTCATCCCTATCTCTTAAGTACAATATATTTTTTAAGAGTTTATCAAACAAAAAAATGTACATAATATATTGATACATTACATAGTCATATGTCGTGCCCTTATTTTACAAGTCGATAGTATTGATATAGTATGTGAATGCTCACTATACGTTAATAGGTTAAATCAATATAAATAAACCCTACATATTTTAAATGATTTATTTTTCTTCTCATTAGTTGTGCCAAAAGCCAAACATCTTGGATTAAAAGGAAAGGAAAAAGATTTTGAAGTAAGAAAAAGGAATATGTGTGATTGTGTTAAATCAAATGTCTAATCAAAGTGCATGGTAAGGTTATTCCTAGATTTTAATGCACCTAATAGAATCTAAGTGCACAAAAAAAAATCCTAATTGGAACCAAGCAAAGATCTCAGCCTTGTTTCATATTCAAAAATTGCCCCCCTCGATCGGAAGGCACAATTGGTTTTGCCTCACCTACGGAATTAAGCAAAGGCATAATCAAAATCATAGTACGACTCTTAGACAAACACTTCTTTGCTTAACTGACCCTCGGGACGTGACCTTTCACTGTGTTGCTTGCATTTGATGGAGATACTCCAAATTTTAGCCAGGCGTGTTACTTGCTCTTGTCGGTTGCCACCAATCTTTTGCATTGTTATTTGCCAATTTCTCTGCTTCCTCTTATATGTTCCATGCATTGTGTTACACTATTAAGCCACGTTGGACAATGGGTTTGGGTCAAACGTCCCCTCAAATTTAAAATCGTGTTTGTGTGGCAGATGTGTTAAGTATGATAAATTGTTTGAGAATAAGGTGTTGTATTATTGTATGATGTCGAATTTGAAATTTAATGTTGATGTCAGTGGTTTTGACATATCAACATCACAACTTGCTCAATTCTGTTTGTTTCTTTTTTAGTTATTGACAAGTGATAGAGATTCAATTTTAATTAAATCAATATAAAATTTTTGAACACCAATCAATAAAGAAACATTATTTAAGAACAAGATTCCAATCAACTATTCAACTCACAATCAAGGAAGGTAAAATACAAAGATTGTATTAATGCAGTTGTACTCTTTTTATTCTTTGCATTAATCAAGCCACTGTTTGGTGTCTGGCTTTATATCCTTTGATGCTAACCTCTCTTTAAGCAAAGGAGAAATGCTAGCCCTGTTCACGGCAGGACTGAAAAGGGGCGACCTGTACCCTAGTTGAGTAATGCACACTAGGTCAGACATACACCTACTTTAGTTTGGTTATTAGTGCAAGATTTCAAATTCTTTCTTTTTAAAATTTCAATATCATGCCATTACTATTCAAAAACCTTTTTTTTTTCTTCCCTAGATTGAAAATTTAAATTTTCATGTGAACATATATATATCAAGAAACAAAGCATTAAGAATAATTGTAGTTGAGGCGTTGAATAGACACATGTGACAAGGCAATAGGGCCAACAACTGTTTGCCTAAAAGATGTAGCAGTGGACAAGATCTTGTTAAGGGAACAGTCTAAAAGCAACTTAGCAGCTTCTTCCATCTCTCCATTCATTCATTCATTGATTCATCGTCTGTCGCAAGAGTGAAGGGCAGTTGTGGCTGCCTTTCTGATGAGTTCTGAGCGGAGATGTGATAAAGCGAGGCGAGGCGACCGGTTGCGTACGTTGAGACCAAAACAGTAATATTGGTTGCTGTATATGGTCATACATTGATACTCCATCCATCTGTCTTGTTGTACGTACCATGTACCAGTCTATATAACTACTCTGCCATACTGCTCTAAAATGCCACCTTTCTGGTGTGCCATTCACTTTATGTCATTGCTTCGATTGTTGCCTTAATTAGCTTAATTGCAGTTGTTGTATATCCAACCATAATTGCAATTAAACAGTAGTAATACGGTGTACACTACTGTACAACCTTTGACTAGAAATTTAAACAATTAATAAGAAATGTGCATTTATTGTTTAATATTTGTTCTCGAAAATCTACATTCTTAAACAAGTGACTTTATTCTTAAATAAGTGACTTTATTACATACTTGGGGTGGGTGTTATTCTGGGCAAAGAAAGTACTTAGCAGAAATGATTTAACTTACTGGATACATATTCCATATATGCGAGAGTAACAAAAAAGAAAGGAAACTTAAAAAAGAAAAAGGACAAAAGGAAAAAGGGGGAATTAATGAAAAGAAAAACATTCCTTGATTGCTCATGCACATGGATGGCCACAGGATAATATAAAAAGGAATAAGGGTCAAATAGGCCATCGAACTGCACACAATAAAATAATTAGGCCACTGAACTTAAAAAACCAACAATTGGGTTCCTAAACTAATCAATTTCAAACAATTTTTTCAATTAGAAGGTTTCCAACAGGTCAACAGGTCATCCTTCCAAATTAATTATTTTTTAAAATTTAAATTTTAAAAATTAATTATTTAAATTTAAAAAAAAAAAAAACTGATTCCAGTTTTTTTTTTTAAATTTAATTTAAAAATAATTAATTTTTAAAATTTATATTTTAAAAAAATAATTAATTTGGGAGATGACCTGTTGACCTGTTGGAAACCTTCAAATTGGAAGAATTGTTTGAAATTGATTAGTTTAGGGACCTAATTGTTGATTTTTTTAAGTTCAATGGCCTAATTGTTTTATCGTGTGCAGTTCGATGACCTATTTGACCCTTATTTCATATAAAAATAAAATATTAAAAATACTTCTAGAACAAATTTCGTTTAACTATGTTTATTAAATACTCAGTGATGATTATTAAATAAAATAATATGTTTCTTTGACAATCAAATAACTAAAATTTGTTACTTTAAACTTGATTTATCTTGTCAAAAACACATACACTATTACTATTATATTTTACATATCTAAGAGGTAGCTTAGGGAATGAGAGAGAGGAGCATAAAAAAGCATGTGAGATGAGAGATTAGGACTTTCTTAATTACAACGTTAAGAATGTTCACTGTTGTAAGCAAACAAGTTAAAGGGTAAATGCAAAGCAAGAAAAGTGATTACAAAGCCATCCAGAATTAATCATAATCACCATCATCATCATGTGTAAAGTTTTTTAAGTATTGGGTGATCTTGTCTTATTTCAATTCATTCAACCTTCCCCAAGACTTTCGCAATTTCCAAGGCATTTTATTTGATTACTTTGATGATATGCTCATATACCTACCTTCTTTTTCTAGTTTTGCATCACTTCTTAAGGAATGTTTACCATTGTTAAAAGAAGAGACCAGTAAGAAGCTAATCCTAGCCTCCTAGCTCCCCTTTCTATATTTTATAAATTTTTTGTTACAATTTTAACAAATTCTTGGTTTTTGAAAAATTTGATAAAATCATACTTTTTAATAGATTTTCTTTATTTTCCATCATTATATTTCTAGAACTTCTTTTCTATTCCAACAAATATTTTTAAAATACTTTACCTCTGACTTAACAATTAACACACCAACACTGTCAGTGAAACCAAGTTGGACTATCTAAAACTGTAGATAATAATCTAATGTGCACATGACATATAAAACATTAAATGAAGATAGTTTTTTGAATGAATTGAAGTTCAAAGTTGAAACAATTAGTTTTTGATACACAATGTTAGCATATTAAGTAATATATGGTATATTGCACTAAACTAAAAACTCCATATTCGTAGATTCCTTTCCAATATTATCCAAGTCATCATTCATCAAAATGCAAACAGCAGAAATCAAGTGTCTAGTGTCTACTATGTTCCACAAGTAAGAATGTGCTGGTAAAATATATACTCCGTGTACCTTATGTACTAAAATTTGTACTGCTGCCTGAATAGTTGCACCTGATGTTCTCTATATCCCTGCAAATGATTAGTAAAATGAACCGGTAATGAAACGTGAAGTAAAATTCTGTGATATGTTCAACAAGGAGTTTGTAATAGCATCCAGCAATTAAGCAGCACAAATCCTAACCTAAATTTGCATATTTCCTGCCAGGTTTGATGGGACACCATAGCGGCTCCTAAGAGAGTCAATGGCTTTCTCTGCCGATTGCACAAGCTGAGGGATGGATGTTTTGCAGACTGAAATTCATAAGCAAAAGGTTTAGAGGAAAATACGTAATCAACTAATCAGTCAAGCATTTATGTTCCTCACTAGTTCTATTATTAAAAATAAAAAATAAAAGACACAAATCAATAGCCCACAGGGCATAGTATTGAAATACTGCAACAGAGGATTTGTGTACGTGTATAGGAATTTCAAAGCAAAAAAGCATGGTCTGTAACTCTGTATAGTTATTAGTTAGCAGCGTGTTCCATGAAAAAATTACTTTGCCAGTAACAGTGAACTACAAAACATGTTATCAACTTCAATAATCTCATATGAACAACTAAAACCAAGCCTAAGAATAGAATAGTAACACTGTTAGGAACTCACAGCGAGATGCATTGGTGTGCACTTCTGCCATGAATTCAGTATATGAAGCCTGAAAATTAACAACCAAATGAAGTGGCAATGGCTTAAGCACAAGAAGAAACCTAGATAGTTCTCTTTCAAGTGGAAATAGCGGATAATGATGAGTGGAAGACTGACCTTCATAGCCTCACGACCTTCATTGATCCTCTCAGACATTTTCTTATGTTCCCTCTCTGCTTCATCTGCCGTTTTTTCACAAGCTTGTGTCTGGATCTGTTTAAATGTCCAAATCAAATTAGACATATAAGAATCTCAATGTTTCCAACTTAATTACCAATCTAAGTTTACCCTTTTCTCCATATTGAAAAATGTTCACTAATAAGAAAGCAAGTGTAATATGATCAGACAGATGAATCATAAAATTTCAGCAACCAGAGAAATGCTATTGTATTGACACTGTACTAAGGAAGATCCAATATTTTCTACAGTGAACTTTAAATCATGCATTTCTATTTTGAAGTTACACATCACTGTCTTGATGTTTATTGTGTTGTAATCATGAACTATACTATGATTACAGATTGTGTAATTGCAAAGCATCAAAGTCATGCACTGGAGATAAGTGACTGCCACAGCATACCCATGAACTTCAATTTAGCAGCATGCTTCTCACCACAACATTATGACTACATAGATCCAAGTGCATATTGCATCATAGAAACTTTGCACTTCTGTGTACGAGTCTGCTTATTATTTATACCTTTAGAAGGCAAAGGCACTGATTAATAATCTTCTAAGTATGAGAATACTTTATTTACTCCAAGTTAACTTTTACAAGAACTCCCAATTTTCCAAGACTATTTATATTACTGGCATTAGCTACTGACTGAGTATTGAGTAACCAACCAATGCATATGATTAAAAGTCTTCTAAAATGAGAATAGATTCAATAATATAATAATGAAATCAGCTTCAGCATGGTGTGAAAGAAATTTTGGTACAGACCCATCACCAATGAGAATAAGCATCACCTAATACCAACATAAGAAATCCTTTTAATTAATTTCAGGGAATAAGATATGCATTGTGCTTAAGTAACTGTTAATATAAACAACAACAAAGCAATGAGATACTCAAGTTTATCACTCATAGAATTCACATAAATCAAGACAAATTATATTAACCACATTGAACAATGTACACAGATTGGTTCTAGGAACAACTTTTTGAACACCATACTGAGCAATTCTAAGATGTACTCAACACATGCAACCTGATTTTATGGCATTCCTGCCAGAACATCAATGTGTTAAAAAAAAAAAAAAAAAAAAACACTGAACTAAACAACAACCAAGTTTCATAAACTTAATTGCTTCACCGCCTCTTACACAAATAAACAAAAACCTCAAGGATGAGTCATCCCAAAACTACCTTCCACCATTAATCAGACATTTCAGACACATCAAGCATGCCTTCAAATAGCCTTAACTGTAAGTCCATCAATTGTGTTACCACATTCATCACCTTGCATAAGGAGAATCATATATGGAGCAATCAATCTGAGAAAGTACTATTGTTGAAAGTTGAAAAGTGACCAAACACAAAACTATCAAACTAAGCGAGTAGAAAAACAAAAACAGAAAAGCCTAGAGCCACAACACATTTAATAATAGCATATCTAGGTCTGCTGCCATTATACAACTAAAACTCACAAACGTAAACAAATAAAAATTTCAATCCATGAAATGAATTTTATTTCATATTAATATCTGCACTTACGACTTACGAGTGCGCGCAGTGAGAGCATTCATATATCTAAATTGAATACATATACATACAGAGAGATAGAGAGGGAGAGACCTTGAGCCGCTTGTAAAAACGAGAATGAGAGGCCTCAATGTCCTTGAGAATCTCCGAGTGCGAGCAATCGAGCTGGCGCTTGATGGAGTCCAGTCCGGAAGACGCAAAGCTCCTAAGATCGGCTATCGTCTTGTAACTTTTTATCGACACAGGTGACTTAGAAAGCCGCATCGGCTTAGAGCTCACTCCCGCACGTCTCTTCTTCGACGATGGCGGTGGCGTCAGTGAAGTAGCATCGAACGCACTGAACTTGAACTGGAATGGCATCGGAGACTTGCTGACGGATAAGTTAGGGCTCGCCACTGCCGCAATCGGCGGCGTCTTCAGATAGTCCTCCGCCATGGACTTCCTCGTAGTCGTGGATCGCTTTCTCATCTCCTTCTCTCGCTCAAATCTCCCAGGTGGACGGTGGTGGTGATCTTCAAACCGTTTTGCTAGAGAGAGCTGTGCAGTAATAATTTGAAAATGTAAGAAATTTTTGTATTTATATTGGCGGGTATTCGGAAACGATACTTGACTTTATAGTGATATTGGGCTGGGCCGTTAATCCCAGTTTGGTAAAATAGTCTGTTTATCAATTAATTTTAATTTATTTGATCACTATTAATTGTTTGATTTGATTAAAAATTCAATATAAGTGTTTGGTTAATTAGTTTTTTTTGTAACTTTAAAATGTTAAAATTCAAAAAATACTCTAAATAACTTTTTCAATTAAGTTTTTGAGAAAAATAAACTATACTAAACAGCTATCGGATAACAGCTAATTTACCAACCACCTTTCTACAATCAGGTAATGTTATCAACTAGTTTTACACTCTAATTAACTCAATCAATTAGCAGCTTATGCTAGCTATAAAAAGGGATGAGCACAAGGAAAAGGGGATCTCATTCATCTACACATGGGAGGACTCTGCCAAGGAGTATTCTCCCACTTACTAATATTTTGCTCATAGAAAGACATGTCATTCTTCCTACACCACTCTCCCAAGAGAAGGCTATTCACATACGCAAGAGAAGACTATTCTTTCGCCCACAAGAAGACCTCCATCACTCTCCCAAAGAGAAGACACTCTTCCACAACCACTCTCCACTCATCTAAGCAGGAAGACTCTACCACTTTCCCAACAAGAAGATCAAAAGGAAGACTCCCTCTCTATATACAAAGTATAGCTCTTTCCCTACACAATATTTCTATATACAAAATAGCCATACAACTTGTACAAACAATCCTACATAATAGTGAATTTAGGCTTGGCACCGCCCAAAAAAGCCCGTGGTTTTCACCTTTCGGTTTTCACGTAAATACTTCTTCTATTTTAGTAACCTTATTAAGAAAGGTGAATCCACCAACTAAGATTGAGTTGGACCTCCCTGAGCTCAAAAACCCTAAAACCAACAATAATAATTAAAGATTACATTTTTATATTGAGTTGTATTCGAGTGCATCCAGTTTGGTTACAAATTTACAATATATTAATATCGCATGAGTCTTGTCATTCAAAAGTCGCTCAGTAAAGGACCAATTTAAGTTGTCGAGTTATTGATTTAAATAATAAAAAGTCTATAAACAGTTTTAATTGGTTCTATCGAACTATTACTAGGGATAGCAACGGGGTGGGGTGGTGGCGGGGAGTATAGTCCCCTCCCCGTCCCCGCGACCTTGTCCCCATCCCCGCCGGGGAATTGGAGACACTCCCCATCCTCGTCCCCGCGGGGAATTAAGCGGGGACGGGGATTCCCCATTCCCCATCAACTCCTAGTTAAAATGTTAAATATTTATAATTTTTAATAATAAAAAAATTAAAATCCAATTCCTAATATTAAAATTTAAAATACTAAGTCTGTATATATATAGTATACCCCCTCGGTATTAGTTATATATATAAATATACAGTGACGACATTACTGCCCCTTATATTACCTATATATATATATACATATATTAATACTATACTGCTAGTATTATACTGTCAGAGATATGGAGACATTACTCATTACTTTTATATATATATATTCGGGGACGGGGCAGGGCGGGGAGGGATATCCCCGTCCCCAGCGGGAAAACACATATATTCTCCATCCCCGTCCCTGTTTTCCAAAAATTTTCCCTATCCCCATCTTTATCGAGGCAGGGATCGGGAATCCCCGTCGGGGACGGGACACATTGCCATCCCTAACTATTACAAATAAAAGTGTCTCAAGATGAGTCGTTTACTGACCCATATAGATTGATTTTATCATACATTATCATTATCTATAGTTGGGGGCCTTGGGGCGGATGTTAAACCCTAATATTATCCAAAATTGTTTCTGGATCCACCGATAAAGCCTAAAAACAATGGGAGGATGATATTAAGCTCTGGGTCACTATCAAAATCGGGTCTTCCTTGGCTCCAAAATGAGTGGTTTCAAAAGCTCCCTTTACATACTCTCCCCAAAGGATGATTAAGTCCAACAGTGAGTCCTCAGTTTCCATTCGCCATTTCACGGTAAATGATCATATCTTCTTGTTTTCCATGTACACATAGAAGCGAAGTTCCATACTCTTAAAATGCCAGCAATTTCATCAAATTTTCCGAAATTAATCTGAACAGTATATCGTCTATGAATGGCATGTATGAAACTTAGTTCCATGTCTGCTGTGTTTGGCAAGTCGATACCTTTGCTTATGTGTGTAAATGTAATGAAGTGTGGCTTTAGGTGCTATAAGAAATGATCATAAAGGGCGTGTTCCGTAGATATGAAAGGTGGAATCCAGTGCACCCAACTTATGGAGCCTTCTGGGGGATTGGAATTGGAATTGGGTGTGGAGTGGGATGGGGACCTGGTTTTGGTCCTGAGGTGATTGGTTATGTTGGAGCAGGCTGCGGTGCCGGGTTTAGTGTGGGAATCACTCTGGCTGGATTAGGGATTGGGCTTCCTGCCAATGACTTCTTCACAGCTCCTTTAAATGGTAAACAACTGATTTCTTGAGTTATAGTGCTGTTGTTTCTACTGGAGGAAAGCGTTGTACTTGGTAGGAACATTTATTATGTGTTTGTATTTTTTCTGGAGTGACGAGAGAAACCCGCAGTCACTATTCGAGTTTGTGCATTGGGTAAACCCTGTCTTTTGATCCTATCAAGGGGGTAAACCAGTCTAGATTGTCCATAGCTGATCGACTCAAACCAAGAAGGCCAATCGGCCACTCCTGTTAGGAGTTGAATTTGTAATTTTATGGTTACCAAGTCAACAGTTTGAGCAACTTGGTTGGGGTTGCCCCTCGTGTTTCTAACCTTGTGTGTATTTTGTTTGTAGCATTCATGGCTACGAGAAGTGGTGCTTTAGATGTTGCTCGATCGAGTGGTCTACTGAGCATCCGAAATGATGGCAGGGAGGGTTGGTTTAACTTGGATCCACAGATTTCTGGTTTGCAGCAGAAAATAGGAGGGGCATTTTCTACCTTAACAGCGAAAGATTCTTTGAAGAATGCCATAGATTTCGCTGACTTGAAAACCCAAAGTTTTTTGCTTACAAAAGGTCTTTTGGATCGAATGAAGACGAATAGCAAGAATGAAAGTGAAGGTATGGAATTGTGAGTAGCAGGGTAGTATCCTGATGAACATACTTTTCAATAGGATTTTGCTAGTGTCATGTCTTCTGAAGTGTTTATTATTCCCTTATTAGGTATTTTGGCTATCTTTATGCTCGTTTTTCTCTTACTATCACCTTTCTGGAAAACTTTTGAACTGGTATTAATGAGAATCTGACTGCCTAAATGGCACCAAATCTTAAACCTAAGCTGCTATCACTCAATTATTAGGTTCCAACTAAGTTAGGTTTTGTTGTTCTCGGGACGCCCTTTTGCAAAACTTCATTCTCTCCCTGAAATAGTGTGTTTTTTTTGACTAACTCCTTTGTATTTAGACTATCATCTAGTCTAGTCTAGATATATAATTGTGAATATCGTCTACAATCGAATGGGTATTTTTACAATGGACATTGAAAGTGTAACTATATGAAAGTTGTATCCTCATTTCACCTATTCAGAAACTTGATAAAACTATAGAGAAGTTGACGGGCTTGTCTTGTGCTTGCAGGTTCAGAAGATGGATAGCGCGATGACATTGTTGACTGTCATGTTATGAGTATTTGAATGGCTTTTTTCAAAACACACCGGCATACTTCTCCGTTTACTGGAGAAATTTTCCTCGAATAAACAAAGAAGAGAATACGTTACTTGTGCATTTGGAAAACAAAAACCGAAGATGAGAGAAATGAAAAACAGTGAATTGAAGTAAACGCAGTTGGTCATTTGTTTTCGTGTAATCTTCAAATTATTCCAATCTTGTCATTTTCCTTTTACATGTTGCTTTTTTCTTCTGGCTTTATCATGTCTGCCACTTCTTGTAAAGTTTGCAATATCCATATTGAAACAATGAAGACTGTAAAATTGAACCAATCCTTGGCAGACAACAGACATCAATGAGATTGCACCCACTAATCAATACAAAAACTAGTTCCATGATATGGCAACACCTTAACCAAATGATGAAAACAGATCAAAACAGTTCTTGGGCAAATGGAACATATTACATATGGAAGTGAATTTCACTTTGGTAACATTAAAACAAAAAGCAGAAACTAATGTTGCAAATGAGATGTTCGGCTTACGGGAGATTGTCCAAGCAAGCTAGCTCGCTGGCGTTCAAGAACGACCAGTCCCTCAGTTGCATTACATCCTAGCTTCATCGAATGACATGCGAACGAGAGTCTCAAAACTAGGGCATTACAATGAGAAAGGCAATAGGAATAAGAGCATTCAATACAGACCAGGCTTTTATTTTGGGTGCACTAAAATTGACATTTTTACAGCTGCCGGAGCAAATAGGATCAAATAACCAGCTTCTGGGGTCTGCAGATCTTGAATGAAATCACTGACAAACCAAACAAATAAGAGAAGCAATTTTCATGTGCTTTCATAGATCAATCTGTTATCAGTGTTACAGTATATGGATCATGTTATAGCTAAGAAATCTGCAGTAATATCATTCAGTTTAATGCAAGTGAAGGAGGATCAGTACAATAACATTGATGAATGATACTCTTTTGAGTTTTGACAATAGATTTTCATTATCTGTTCTAAAATAAAATTTAAAAAAAAAAAAAAAAAAAAAAAAAGCTATTCCTGAGGACTCAGGAATAGGTTAATACCAGGGGGGCCAGTAATAGCTATTCCCTCTTTAGGGGGAATGGGCCATTCCCAGGAACAATGTTCCTGGGAATACAAACTTTTACCAAACAAAAGAATAGACCTATTACTGGGAATGCTATGCCATTCAAGGCCTATCCCGCGAACCAAACGTGCCCATTATAGTAACTAGCATTGCCATTTTCTCAGAACAGAAGACATAAACTAAAGTGCATCATGTATGTGATTTTATTTATTTACTAGAGCCTAGGTGATTGTTTTAATTTCTTAGGATACTGCAAAGATAAACAGGAAAGAAAAAAAAAATCAATTACCTGATCCAACAACAGAAGGATTCACGATATTACAAATGGCAAGATTCTGTCTCAGTACGGTACTTGATGGATGGAATATGCCTGATCTTTGGACGATCAATGCCATCGCCTCCAATACGTTGTATGAACTCTCCTGAAACTCCTTTCAAGTCCAGTGCTTCAAGGCTGGTAAGGTATTCAATACCTTGGGGCACCTTGTTCAGTTTAGGACACGAATGTATATTCAGGCATTCGAGCCTGGGCATCACTCCCTTTGAGAATACGATTTCTACTAAATCAGGGAAAACTGCAAGGTGTAAGTCCTCGAGCTTTAGGAATCCAGAATTGAAGAATAGTTGTTCCTTGCCAGAGCTATAAGCATTGACCAAAGTAAGGTGTTCCAAACACTGAAGCTCGCAAAGGTAGGGTACAGGATCCTCTGTCAATCCGCTCCAATGCAAATGCAAATGTATAATATTGCGCAGTGAAGGGAACCAATGGGGGACATCTTTTAGTTTCCCAACCAAAGTGAGCTTTCGGAAATTAGTTGGTGTGGAAGAGAGGTGATCGATTGGGAGACTTTCATTCTCTTCAGCAACCATTAGTAGAAGCTGTCGAAGAAACTTGAGTTTTTCGATTGAGGCACACAGAGCCTTCTTATCTGTTTCTCTCACATTTGTAAGCCCGATCCTTACAAGCTGACTCATTTTCCCAATTCCCTTGATAATGTCAGCATTTGCTTCAATGCAGTTAACAACTTGAAGATTCTTTAGCTTGCATATGGTAGCTGGAACTTGCATTCCTTTAGTATATGTGAAACATTCCTTTTCTATCTCTTTATAGACAAGTAAATGCCTCAAATAGAACAACTTGTCGATTTCCTGTGGTAGTGCCTTCACGTTCGTTCTCCTAATGTCGAGGGTGTACAAGTTCCTGAGTCTACCCACAGATTTGGGCAGTTCCTTGATATGAGTTCCACTCAGACCCAAGTACCTCAGATTGAATAAATTACCAATGACATCGGGCAAATGCTGAATTTGTGCACCCGGCAATTCCAGGACCCTTAATAGTCTGAATCTCGGTAAAAGATCACCCAAAGTCTCTTTAACATCAAACGCGGAAAAAGATCTCACATTTTTCATATCACCCCCCATGCGAAACGTTCCATCACTGGCATGCACAGACAAGCGGCGTGCTCTTATTTCTCCTTCGAGTTTTTCTGGATCACAGATTGACAAGAAATTTTCCTGCTCCGATAATGAATGAGCCAGCTCCCACATCAGATCATGAAGCTTACACATCTTCGGCCTTAAGTAACTATGGCGCTTTGTAACTTGAAGGAGGCTCCTAGAAATGAGTTCTTTGAGATAGATTTTTCCTACTTCCTCCGGTATTAGACCCCTTCTTTCTTCAAGAAACCCTTCGGCCATCCACATTCTCATTAGTCTGCCAGCTCCGACCCATCTTCCCATCGGGAAAAGGCAACAGTATAAAAAGCAGTTCTTGAGATAATAAGGCAAGTCATTGAAGCTCAATAGAAAAATGGTTTTGACCTCATCGAGCAAAGGGTTGTTGCTGATATGCCAGCTGAGGGCATTATAAACTTCCCTCCATTTTCGTTCTGACGGATCTTTTGAACCCATGAGACCACCTAGAGCAACAATTGCAAGAGGCAAACCCTCGCATTTTTCAACCAAGGTATGACCTATGCCTTCTAGCTCTTCAGGACAGTTGCAATTATGCTCGTTGCAAAAAGCCTTTCTACAAAAGAGAGCCCAAGCATCGCTCTTTGAGAGAGGATGAGAATGGAAAACACGGCAACCTGCCCCGTAGGGATAAGATGCTATGTCTTCCTTCCGTGTTGTTATGATTACTCTGCTTCGGTTTTTATCATCAGGGAGAGCAACACTTACTTGTCTCCAAAAATTGATATTCCATACATCATCCAAAACTACAACATACCTCTTTTGCTCCAAGAATTTGACAAGCGTCTCCACCAAGTGCTTGTAATCCATGGAATTCAATTTTTTGGGGACCGGTTCATCCTCGCCATTGAAAAATTCAGTTACCATCCTTCTGAGCAAGTCCTCTATCGTGTAATGCCTCGAGACAGACACCCATGCACAGCAGTTGAAATTCCTCTTGATGGAACGGCTGGTGTAGGTTTTCGAAACTAAAGTTGTCTTCCCTGAACCCCCCATGCCCACAACAGAAATCACAATGCGGTGTTCCTCTTCTCCCTCCAACCAGGTTAGCAACTCGTCTGTTTCTGAATCGAGTCCAACAATCTCATCACTCCCGATGAAGAAAGCCGAGTCACTGATGTTTTGTGCATGGCTGCGAGAGTGACTCGATGGTTCTGAAGATGACACGATGTGACTAAGATCGTACCTCTTACTTCTTTTCGCAATGTCTTTGATCTCACCTTTGATCTTTTTCAGCTCAACGGCAGTTCTGTGTGTAATCCAGAGTTCCTCTGGAAGCTTTAACACCCTGAGTAAGAAAGCTTTAAAACCACTTTTCTTCATACCATCTACATGATACAAGAACTCGTCTATAACATCTTCCGCTTCAAACGCTATGTCCCTCACTTGTACTGCCCAAACACACACACCTTCAATTTCGTTTTTGCATTTCTCAGCATCCTTTATGAAGCATCTCATGCTCTCGAGCTCAAGTTTGATCTTGGAGATTTCTTGCCGTACTCCACCAATCAGAAACCCCGGCCTACTGAGAAGGTATGTGATGCTCACTACCAAGAGTTCCACTGCAGCCTCTGCCATTTTTTCTCTTCAAAAACCTCTGTCTAAGAGAAAGCTTGTTTTTGTATTACACTTTACCGAGATAGAAAGAAGATCACAGTGAGAAAATAATTTTTAGATAGGTTTCTACATGTTGAGCTGTCAATGATGCAGGACCCACTCTCATTTCCCTGTATTTGTCACGAAAAGAAACTCCAACCTCCTTCAAATCATTGTATCAAACTATCAATCATTCAATGGTTATTCAATGTATTAACCTCACTGTGAAAGGAAAATAGTTACATTGGAGCAACACCATAAGATGCACTTATCAAAATCAACCTATTCAAATCCTTCCTTACAACCAATAAAAATTAAACAGATAAATTAACTAGTATTTAGCAGCAGTTGCTTGCTTGAAGATTTAAACGACAAAGTTATTGACAGAAATGTGAAAATTCAGCAACAGTTCATTACGTGACATCGTGACACTATCACTTCTTTCTTAGAATAAATGCAACTTTGACTAGTTTGTATTGATAAGTGTTAGGATCAAGCGCTTACCACTACGCCAAAAATTATAGCTCATAGCGAAGGCGCACAATCCCCCTAGCCACCTGGAGCTGGACTTGGCCCTTCATCGGTCTCCGCCCAACAATCCCCAGCACTGCTGGGACTCAAACTCGTGACCTGGCTCTTCACCGGCCTCCGCCCAACAATAAGTTTGGATGAATTAATACCTAATTGCAACGTACTTCTAAGAATGAAGTGAATCTCAGTACTGCATATTTTTAAAATATTGTGTATAACAGTGAACCACACAACAGTTTGTGACCAGTGTATCTGTTTCTATAATGATATATAGATATTCCATTAAGAGCTCAGTTTCTTTTAAAGGGCATTTAACGTCATCATATATCCAAGTGAATAAAGCAGACAAGTGTACTCATCTTGAACAAATGATAATGGATCTGTACATCTATAGAGATACTCTTCATCACTGTTAAGTGTTAACCAGAAAAATATATCATTGCATAGTCAATAAAGAGATCGATTACAAATCCAATCATCTAAGCAAGGCTCTTTACACAAATCATGCGGTTTAGTAATCCTCTGCATTGACAAAGATGGCCACCAATTAATCTTCAAAAGAGTCTTTATGTCACATTTTTTGTTATTAGTTCTCTGACTTCTCTCTCTCTCTTTCCTTCTCAATTTTCATTTGACATGTTTAGTTCAATAATTCAAGCATAATGTCCCCATGCCAGGAATGTCATTCAAATATCAAAATATAATAATTGCATACTACACATGCTTTAATAAAAACAATGAATTTGAAAAAAAAAAAAAAAAAATCTGATTGCACGATATTTTTACTCTAGAAATCTGTTTGAATTTTAAAAAAAAAAATCTTTAGACATCTGCCAGAACTATTTGAAATGATGTCTCACGGTGCAGAAATGCCAAATGCTTGTGACAAAAGGAATTGAACCCAGATTTAATTTGAAATCTTAGTATCTTGGCCAAAAAAAAGAAAAAACAAATCAAATATGAAACTAGGCATATATTGATTGAAAAAAAAAAAAAAAAAAGTTTAGGGCATTCAACAAATTGAAAATCTTCCAGTTTTCCAGAAAAGAAAAATAGAAAACAAAATTGGAAAAATGGAGTTGGTGTTCAAATTGAAATATTCTCCAAACAGAACAATGCAACAATAAATTTTTGTTTTTCAAATGGACAAGAGCACATGAGAAGAACACTTGGTACTGTTCATCCACATTTTCCTTTTTAAAGGGTGTTCTGCCCTTTTTAAACCCCCTATGGAAGAGTAAATATGCAAAACAGAAAACTTATTTCCATATACACAAGCTGGAACTCATAGATGTTGAGCATAGTTACAGATGCAGATATGCCAATTACAAAGTATCAGAAGGCTATGGCCAGGTTGGCCAAAGTTATAAACCAATACTCAGATGAATAATTGATGACTAATAAAGATTAGGAATCAAATGGGGATCACAAACTAGAAGACATGCCACAGTCAGCATTGCAGATGCTCTAGCACTCAGTAGAAGATTTTTTTTTTTTTTTTTTTTTTTGATACATTAAGTTTCTCAGCTTACGCCAGACTAATTCTAAGCCCCAGAACCCTTGCCCCTTGCCTGTACACTCTGCACGATATTCATCACCTTTGATCGGTCAAAATCTCCCAATAACCCCAGGTTCCTAGTGGGATTCGAACCCCCACACCCCATGTGCATTGTTCCCACTATTCCAATATCAATCTTGAACTTTAATCTCAATGGAGTTCTGCAAATCAAGTTAAAAGCAGCACTCAAAATTAAAGCAGTAAATTGTCACAGAAGATAAGAGGTCTATCTAACAACCTAACATGCTTTAGCAACCTCACTAAGCTCAATTATCATTTGCATCAATCAGCTTTTCAAATATAGCAAAACAGTACCATTTGTGGGACAAACATAACAAAGCATCATAAAGAGGCAAAAAATATGCCTATTAGCTGTCAATTGTACAAGACATCAAGAAATAAAAAAGATGGTTGGCCCCCTGCATTGTATTTTAGTCAAAAGCTTCTTTAGATATGTGGCTAGAGCGTATAGAAGAAAAAGATGAGTTCTCAGAATTCGTAAGCTACGCACTCCAGCACCAAAAATGCATCATACCTTTAATGAGTGCAACTTAACCTGAAACGCAAACGGGAAAGCCACACCCGTGACAGCGATATGAAAAGCAGAGTAATTGCATTGCTTTGAGGATTAAAAACAAAATGGTAGGGTTCCACGAAGGTGATTGATGAGAGTGAAAGCATGGAAAGAATGAATTAAAAACTTGTTAGAATAGGAAATGTTTGCCTTAAAAAAAAGAAAGGTAACGTAGAAGTCTTTGGTAAAAAGAAAAGAAAATTTCTTTTAGAGTTAATACCTAAAATAGTCCCTCGACTATGTCGTAATTACCAATTTAGTCATCGACTATTATTCTTACCCAATTAAGTCCTCAACTATACAATTTTTATCCAATTTAGTCTTTTGTCAATTTGACTGTTTATTGACTGTCAAAAATGAAAATAAAGTTGTAATTTTACAAGTTTTCTCCTTCCTCCTCATTTAGCAGCGCCAAACCATGTAACAATAAGCTCTGGTTGGGTTCTAAACCTGTCAGTATCGAAGTAGTGGTTATGCATCGGATAGCCCATGAATTTGATTTCTAACGTTTTTTTGACGATCGAAATCTGATCGGAGTGTATTGCTGCATGGTTTGGCGCTGCTAAATGGAGGAAGGAGAAATCTTGTAAAATTATAATTTTATCTCGACTTTTGACAGTCAACAAACAGTCAAATTAATACAGAGGACTAAATTGGGTAAAAATTGTATAGTTGAGGACTAAATTGTGTAAGAATTGTATAGTTGAGGACTTAATTGAGTAAAAATTACATAGTTGAGGACTTAATTGGGTAAGAATGATAGTTGAGGACCAAATTGGTAATTATAGCATAGTTGAGGGACCATTTTGAGTATTAACTCTTTCTTTTATTGAGAGGATTCAAGATCTCAGTCCAACAAAGATAGCAGGATGTTGAGTTGATTTTCAATATTCAAAAACACTTTTGAAAGTTTGGAGAATTGTTTTATACTTGATCTTCTTGTAAGTAACTCCTTGTTGTTTTTTTTTTTTTTTTTTTTAAATGAAGTAGCTAATTCATTAATTATAGACTGAAACGTTTACAATAAAAATCGATGGAATGGTTAAATATTTCTTACAGTCAGACATAGAAACAACTTTTCTAGCAATGTTATAGAAAACTTGATTCACATACTGTTTCACAAATTTGAAGTTAAATTCTTTGAAAGAACTTAAAGCTTTTTTAATGATATGGTCAAGCATATCCAAAACAGACACTGGTTGAATAGTCTTGCACACTACCTGAGTATCTATTTCCATTCTGTTATCCATTGACAATATCTCCATAGGGATGAACTGCATATCATAGTTCAGAGGAGTCTCTTTTCATTGTCATGTTTGTCGATGAGATTCACATACGTCATGACCAGTTTTATCGTTTCACGTTTTATAAAAAAAGAGCTAGCCAAGTAAACGAAAATAAAACCAGTAAAACAAAGCAATGGGAAACAACAATGCGAAAATAAAGGAGTAACCACCAGTATCGGTGGAGATGGAGGAGTGGGACAAGACGTAACCGGTGGTGAAGGCGGAGAATGAACGAGAAGATGGTGAAGGCGGACGCTGTCTGCAGTTGGAGATGGCGGTAGGGGAAGACGATTGGACGCCGCCTCCAATCCGCTTGTTTCACGGAGGCGGTGATTGTGTAGAAATTTGAGCGGTCAAAAACCAGATACGAGAGAGAATTAGGCTCCGGCAACTACTCATTTTTTATTGATACTCGGTTGAGGTTTACATATAGTAAATGGGTTTCTACCAAAGTGTAAACTAGTACTTACAAATCTTGTATTTTAAATTTGTTATAGTGAATTTGGTTCTTACACTATAGTGTTTTCCCCTCTGAGTATGAAGAATATGAACTGAAATAAAGTATGGTGTTCATCTGCTATCTTTTTATTGTTTGCGATATGGTGTGCTTATACTATGTGTCTATGTTTGACTTTATTTATCTCCTTAGGCCCTGTTTGGTTCGCGAAAAAAATATTTGAAGGGAAATAGAATTGAAATTCTATGGAAAAGAAATTAATTACATTATTTGGTTGGTAAAAAATAAATTACTGAGAATATCGATTCTATTGTTTGGTTGAGTTTGGAATTGTAAGGAATAGTAAGTATAAAGACAATTATACACCTACATAATAATATCAACAGCAATAATAATGGTAATTAAGAAAAATTGGTGAGGACATAATTGTCTTATTTGTTTTCCATAGAAAATATTTTACATGAACCAAACAAAGGAAAATCTAGTTTTTCTCAAATTCAAGGAAAACATTCTTCATGAATCAAACATGCCCTTAATGTTTCTACTAGTGTTGGGACAACTATACAACACCCATTTTAACACACCAAAATTTTTAAGTTCAAATTCTATTGTGAAAGTGCATTATTATGCAAAACGCATGTGCTCAGATTGCATATTTGTGGCTCTCATTGAGAAAATATCTTAGAGTTGAATCCCATGTGACTCTTCTTGTAAAAAAAATAATAATAATAATAATTCTTTTTTTATATAATACTAATATATTCACTATTGCGAAATTAATTTGAATTTGACTTTTATCTTAAAAATATCTTACCAAAATGTTTTAACGTGGCCACCATTCAAATCCAAACAAGAAAAACTCAGGGTGTGTTTGGTTTGCACATAGGAATCAGAATCGGAATGGGTATCAAATACTTGGTAATGGTAATGGATTTTGGTGAAAATATTTAACATATTTGGTAGTAAGGTGGAATGGGAATGGTTACTAATAGTAGTGGTTAAGAATGAATAAGGGAATGAAACCCTTATTGTATTTGGGTATGAGTTTTTCAATTGATGGGGTATTTGAAACCCATAGTAGTGTTCTAAAAACCTATTAACCAAACAACAACAATCACTTTCATACCCATTCCTATGGACAAAACCCACCAACCAAACACACCCTCGAATTCATGTGGACACCTTCATAAGTCAAAAGACACCATAAAAATCACTAATCAAAAACTATATAGTGGTAATGTAATATTAAAATCAAATGGTGTTGGGACTTAGGAGAATAGGAGGTAATCAAAATTCAAATAAGAGAAGAGAGTCAAATAGGCCACTAAATTTTAGTCAAAAGGGTTATTAGGTCTCTAAACAAAATTTAAATACTTAATTTTGGATTTTCAAAAAAAAATATTTAAACTTATTAAAATGAGTCAAATAGATCTGATTTACGGGTAACCAATAAGTTACCGGTAATAATATCACGTTGACTACCTTTGACCACCATTAAAACCAACTTCCGGTGACTTTTTTACCGTAGAAGACGACCAGTCGTCTTCTCCGGTGGAAAAGCGACCAGTCCGGTCACCTTGTGGAGAAGGCGACCTTTCTGGCCGCCTTCCCTAGCGAAGGCGACCACTGGTCGTCTTCTCCACTAGAGAGACAACTAGGGCATTCTCCACTGGAGAGGCGACCAAATCTGGTCGCCTTCCCCGGCGGAAGGCAGCTAGTTGGTCGCCTTCTGCTGTAGATGGCAAGTCGTCGCCGGTTGCCGATTTTTTTAGTCGGAATTAAAATGATATGTTATAACAGATCATTACTGATTCATGAGGTTTATTAACTCATTTTGACAAAGTTTAAATATTTAATTGTCCTTTTAACTAAAATTTAGGGGCCTTTTGGCTAAAGTTTTAATGAATAAATAAATAAACATAATGGTCCCCTAATTATTCATTAGTTGGTAAGTTGGACAAAATTCTTCTTGCCAACACATTCCTACTATTTCCTAGTATTTGTCAAAAATATTGTACACCATAACACGTGATGCATATTGGAATCTCCGAAAGAAAATTGGTCAGATTAACGCAATCAATAAATATTTTCATAAATTAAATTGATGCCCACCTTCAATAATTCACTTTGGATATACAAAATATGCATATTCAACCATCATTATATTCAATAAGCTTATTGAAGAAATTTAAAATTCTTGTTTTCTATCTTTGAAAGCGTATTATGAGTGAAGTCCACTTTGTGATTTTAGTCGATAAAAGATTATAAAATGTTAAACCAACTTAAGTTGCTTATAGCTAATCAGCTTAAACTGGGCCAACTGACAATCCCGTCTTACCATATTTTAAATGGTTATATATAATTGTGACAAGGCATAAAAATTAAACTTATTAAACTGGTAATCCGCTTCATTGGTACTAGATTCAGAAAGCAACATTGACTTTCATGTGCAAAGCCTAAATCCAACCAAATTAATAAAAATTTGATTATTTAACTTATAATCTCACAAATTGTGCCTTAATACAACGACATATTACATGTTACACATTTGCTTCCATACTAGTAATTGACAATACAACCCCTGAGAATCTAACACCACAGTGCTACATACTACCTGGTAACACATTTATTCTGGGCAGCAAACATGAAGCTGCCATTAGTTCTTACAATGAAACATGTTTTGCTTTACAGTGGTTCAACACAGCCTTACACATATATAATGCAGCTAATGTTCCAGCCACCGAAAAACGTACACAAAGATCACGCGAGCAAATTCATTCATTCATCAGCACAAGATCACATACTGACTGCTTCGAGCTTCTGTCGTGCTCGTTGTCTTGTTCACCTCAGGCATCTGCATTCCAGACAGATCGAAAGAAAGTATAGGTTAGAGTGTCGAAAAATAAAGGGTTATGTTTGTCTATACGGTTGTGTCTGTTTATGAATAGGTGCTTAAATTAACAGTGATGT